TTGGAAAGAATTGGAGCTCAGGAGCTGACCCTGTGTGTGTAGAATCTTCCTGATGAGCACCACTGTTCTCCAGGGGAGATGTCATCTGATAAGTCTCCCACCACCTCAGCAGCTATTATGTATAGTAGCTGCCCTCTTCCTATGGTGCCTTGCCCCCTCCCCTGTGTGACATCACGCCAAGATGGTTGCTCCCACCAAAGAACAAACCCTTCTTCCCAGCATGCCCCTGTTCCCACCTAGAGAGTAGCCTAATACTCGCTCACCTCCTACCACCTAGTGACGTCACCGGCTCCTCCGTTCCCTAGTCACTACCTCACTCAACCCCACTTGAGCCCCTACAAACCCCACCCCAGTCTCAAAGACACTCCTTGCCCCGGCCATATTGCTTTTGTTTCTCCTTTGTTCCGAGACAGCCCGGCAGATCTGTTCCCCTAATAAAAGCTTGTTGTGGCCTGGTCTGGTCTTGGTTTTTTGGCCTTTTACCTGACATCAATTAAGACTATAGCAACAGGATAGGGGTAAAGAGACAGGGTATAAGCTGCAAACTAATTCCTGCATCAGCCACTTTACCTATCAAGGAAATAGAATCCACAGTCTTGGACACTGCTTGCAGGGTGGCACTCAAAGAGGTATTCCGGGAGGCATCTCTGTGGGCAGTCGGGTTCCCAGCCTGAGTGAATGAGACAGCTGCACTCAGGGATCCAGAACATGAAAAGAGGTGACTGTTTTGCAGGAAAGCTGAGCTCACATCTGAACCTAAATTTGGGATACCTGGGAGATAACAACCAGGGGCATTTGGATAAATTCACTGAGACCTCTAGAGAGGACCAGGCTGGGAGGAGTTTCTGGAATCAGTGACACAGTAAGTGAAGCAGCCATAGAGATCAGACTATAGCATAGAGATAAAAGAAATGGGGGAGAGTGAAACATTGAACTAGCCAGTACTCACTGTCTAGCTGAGGACAAGTGGCCCTCCTAGAATCTGAGAAGAAATGGTTTAAAAGCAAGCAAGAAGATTAGAGAAGATTGCTTTAAGAAGCATAAGGCAGGGGCCGGGGATTTAGCTCAGTGGCACCATGTCTGCCTTGCAAGTGTAAGGTCCTGAGTTTGATCCCCAGTACCAGAATAAATAAATAAGTAAATAAGAAGCACAAGGTTGTTGACAGTGTTGAATGTTGCAATGTTTGGCTGAGAGAACTGAAGGGGTCCACTCAGGAGTTAGGAATCCACTGGGGCTTCTACCAGAAGTTCTCAGTAGAATGGTGGGAAACATAGTCATTCTGAAGTTTTGGAAAGAGCAAGCAGGAGGTGAGGAAGTGACAATTAGAAGGAAGACTGTTTTCAAGAAATCTTGGAGGACACGGCAGGACAATAGCCAGGCGGATCTCAGTGGGGTGTGAAAACTGGTTTCCTAGGGTACAGTGGCTAGGGTAGAAGCTTAAGGACTGAGTTCATCAGTGAGGAAGGTGAGATCCATGGTATGGCTATTAGATGTCCGCGGGCGCAGTCAAGATTCTGAGGCCACGGTGGGCAGGGCCTGGAGGAGAGAGAAAGACGCCAAGTATCCTCCGCTGATCGGTCCCTGGGTGGCATGGACACCTGGGGAAGATCCCGCAAGGCCAGGGCGCACTGCCTGCACGGGAGGGTGGTGTTTTCCTATGAGGATAGAGGAGCAAAGGCGGGGGGGCTTCCACGGGGAGCTAAGAGGCGCCAGGGCCTCGGGCTGGAACTCTCGTCTTTCCCTACACACTTAAACCCGCGTGCTGATGTGATCCGTGAGACCCGGCACCACCACATCAGAATGCGTCTTCCCCCATAGGCACCGGGTGCCAGGATGCAGATTTCGAACCGCGGGGCCGTGACCCGGACCCCTTCCGCCTTCTGTTCACCCTTGGTCGGCCGCCACCTGGCTCAAGTCCCTCAGGCGTCGGTGCAGGCGGTGGGCACGGGCAGCACCAGGCTGGCCGCAGAGGGCTCTGGGAGTGGGCAGGAACTGCATGTCCCAGGAGGCCCCGCGGGCGCCTCAGGCCGGCTGGGGGCGGGACAGGGCGTGGCCTAGGCCTCGGCTGCGCGGAGCAGCGGAGCGTTTCCGAGCGCTTCCGAGCGTCCCTGAAAGCGGGTAGCTGCGGGATCCCCCCCTTTCGCCAGCTGCGGAGCTCAGGCTCCCTCATTCTTAGATCCCTCATGGTTTCCCAGCGCCTACTCTGGGCAGTGCCGAAGGGCTCAATTTCGGGGTACGGGGCCGTTGAGGCAAACAGGTCGATCCCGGCTCTCGGGTCCCTTGCAAAGGCCTGAGGCAGCACAGAGCATGGGCGCGGGTCAGAGGCCGCCCCGGACTCGTCGGTGGCGAGGAAGGCAGGTGCCGTAGAGGTCATGGGCTGGGGTGCTTGGAAGTCGGGGGATAGAAGAGAAAGTAACTGAGTGCGACCTCAAGACTGAGGAGTGCCGACGCCTGGGGAAGCCACAGTGCTTTTGGGGGTGAGCCTCGGTGGTGTCGTTATTGGTAAGTTCGTGGGGACACCGAGCAGGCGCGAGGATGTGGGGAGCCAGAGGCTGGAGAGGGACGGACCAGGTGGAGAGATGAGTACAGGAGGCCACAGGTGGGGCTGAGGCCAGAGCCTTGGGGCCGACTTGCCCACGTGTAGGAGTGAAGGAACAGATGGGGGATCCACGGGGAGCCAGCGATGGCCTGTGCAGAGTACGCCCTCTGGAGGCGGAAGGAAGTTTCCGGATGGCGGGATGAGAACCCAGGAGGGCTGAGTTGGAATTAAGAGAAAGGACAGCTGGATTGGGAAAGATGGACGTGGCCTTGGAGACCCTGGCTTCGCTTTCAGTCCCTGATTGGAGAGAAGAGCGAGGGGTGCGGAGGTGGAGACGACGCTGCTGTCAAGGAACTCTGCTTTGCAGAGAGAGAGGGGCAGAGGCAGATAGAAGGCAGAGTGCCTGGTCCAGGCTGCCCGGTGGATGTGGTAGGCAGAGAAATGCTGCCTGCCCCAGGTCCACATCCTAATTTCCGGAACCGCTGAATATGTTGCTTTATATGGCAAGAAAGACTGCAAATGGGACTAAGGGTTACGCTACAGACCTTGAAGTTAGGGAGATTATCCAGGTGGGTTGGATGCAATCAGAGGGGTCCCTAAAAGTAGGAGAAAAAAGGAGATGGGCGCGAGGATTAGATGTGACAATAGAGGACCAGATGGACGTGTTGCTGGCTTCGAAGGTTGAGAAAGGGGCTGTCAGCTTAGGATGGTGGGCGGCCTCTGAAGCAGGAAGAGGCAAGGAGATGGCTTACCCTCAGCCTCTAGGAAGGGACGCAGCCCTGCTGGTGACACTGACTTGATCCCAGAGGTTCCTGTGTGGGATTTCTATGAAACCAGCAGATAATAAATGTGTTTTAAGCCACCACACTTGTGGTCTTTTGCGGGGGCAGCCACAGAAAACTGATAAAGAGGGCCAGGTAAGAGGAGTGAGGAGGCCAGGCCATCGAATGCCTAGCAGGACACCACCAGGGAGCATGGGAAGAGTAAAATAACTGGCAGAGTGGGAAACTGGGGGTGCCAGGCTGTGCCAGGCAAGAGTAGCACTGTAGGAGCCACGCCCATCACACTGACTGACTTTGCTGATGAAGGGCTGGAGAATCACAAAGACATTCCCTAGTGTCAGGTGGGGGGCACACCTCTGACACGTCAGTGATTCAGTAATGTCCCTGAAAATTAGAGACCACTTCCAGGTCAGAGCAGCACAGGGCCTGGGTTCTGGGTCCAAGGCTTCTGGCCTTGGCAGGTCCTAGTCCCAGCAGTACTTTCCCTCAGGTCAGCCTCCTGCTCCCTTGATTGGGGCTCCCCAGCCACCTTCCAGGGTCTTGGGAAGCCATGGTGAGGATGGAAGTTACACAGACTTGTTTCTTCAGAGTGGTCTGGGCAAATGCCCCTCAGATGGCACAGGGGCTCATGGTGGTGGCCTCTGGGTGTGAGACCCATAGGAGCCAGAGGCCTCACAGAAGGACCCGTTAACCACCGGTGTCCCTGTAGCCACTGCTTCAGGGTGTCGGGGGGTGATGAAAGAACCCTAGAAACAACATTCCTGTCCCTCTGTTCCTCTCGTGGATCCTCCCCTGGAGCCCAGCAACTCAGCCTTTTGGTAAAATTAACTGGATCTGGTTGTAGCCCAGTAGTTGAGGTCTGCAACTGAATGGCAGGGAAGCCAGGGTGAAGCCCCGACTCGTAAACCCTGCTGGTAGCCAGGACCTGCTTGGGAGCGTTCATAAAGGGAAGCTGGGAAAGATGCTCTTGAACAAAGGCACATGGCCCAAGAGGGGACCCAGACACCAGTCCTCCATCCTCACATCTGGGCCCTGCCTAGGGAGTGCCAACCCAGAGTGAGAACAAGCTGAGTCAGGGTCCTGAAGTGGGTGGGGGGGCTAACCATGGCAGTGATTGCTGCAAGCTGCCCCTCTCTGTCCCTAAGGGTTCTGATCTCCTGGGCCAAGTTGACCTCAGGTTCAAGCTGCTTGGGGCCATGGCAGTCTCACTTCATCCATGATCTGTGTGGGTGTCCTTGTCCTTGAAGTCACTGGTGCCAAGGGAAAGCTCCCTGAGTCAAGAAAAGTGACAGCCCATACAAGTAGGCTGATGTGTGTCTTATGCATGGATGCTAAACCAGCTCTTTAAAAGACTTCTGAGCCAGAGGGCTAGCAGGCAGGCATTAGTGCCATTATTCCCTGGAAGCTGGTGAGCAAGAGATTAGAGGGACAGGCCACTTTCCTATCGCTGCATTACCCTGGAGTGAACCTCAGCCCAGTGGAAACATTCTCCAGCATACACACACTCCAGGGAGAGGAGGCCAGGCCCCAGGACTTGCCCAGCAATTGCCAGTCTCCATCACCACTGGACTGGCGATAAACCGCGAGAATTTAAAAGACGTTCATTAGCATCACATGGGGGCAGGAGTGCTCAGTTTATAGCATGCACACCTGGAAACATTAATGACCACACCAGTGATACCTCGAAGGTAACCAACCTCAAAGTTCTTTAATTCAATCGAAACATTCCATGGCAACCAAGTACATGAACTCAAGTGTGCTACAAACCAGCCTGTACAGAGCTGCTGAGTGCTGCTTCGAGATGCACCTGGCTCCCCTGGTCTGCCTGAATTGGCAAACTTAAGCTTCTGCGGAGCCCGGGGCTGTCAGGACCTGAGTGTCCCTGCCCAGGACACTGGTGCCCAGTTCTCAGGAAAGAACACCATTCCTGTCACCTCTGCCAGAGCCACGGTATCTGGGAAGGCCGGGACAGGTGAATGGTAGCTCTAAGCAATTGCTCCTGTGCTGGCAGCCCCACCCCAGCCCATAGCTGTAGGGTCTGTTAAAGTGCCTCCCTCAGGAAACAGGGCTAGGGGCCTCCCTGGGCTGGGCATCAAGGGCTGCTGCCCTCAAGCCACCCACCAGAGGAGGCCAGACCCTGGAGGCGGCCTGGGCCACCCCCACAGATCCCCGGTAGCGTTAGTCACCAGGGCCTCCAGACACTCTGGGCCACCGTCAAGCTGCTAAGGACTGCAGGCACCAAGTCCCGCCCCTCAGCAGGTGCTCGACTCAGCTCAGCCTCGGGGACCACCTCTAGGTCGGGGCACAGGTCGTCCCCAGGAGCAGCAGGGCTGGGCAGCGGGGAGCTCGGGGCTCCTGTTGGCCTGGCCAGGGCATCCCCCAGCAGATCCCGGAAGCTGCTGCCCTCGCGCAGCGGCATGGACTCCAGCAGGTGGTTCAGGAGCTCAGCTGCGACCGTGGCGTCGATGGCCTGGCACGTGGACACGAACGTGTGCACCTCGTGCATGCACTGGATGTAGCCGGCTGCGAAGCGCTCGCTCGCTTCCGCTTGCAGCTGCTCACGCTCTGCGCCGCGGACTGGAGAGTGACAGCAAGGTGAGAGGCGACGGCGGCCCGCCTGGCCCGCTGGGGGACCCTGCCCCGCCCCGCCGCCACTCACCGCGTGCCCGACCCCGCAGCGCGCCCTGCACGCGCCGCACCGTCAGCTCCAGCACCTCGGCGTTCTCCAGCTTGGCCTGCACCTGCGGGGGCCGGGCGGTGAGCGCGCCGCACACCCAGGACCCGCACACCCCGCGCCCTGCGCCCGCCGCACCTCGGCGCCCGCCAGCAGCAGCCGCAGCTCCTGCAGGCTCTCGTTGATCCGCGCGCGCCGCTTCTTCTCCACCAGGGGCTTCCGGGCCTGCGGGAAGCGGCGGGTCACTGAGCCCCGGCCCCGCGCAGCCCCCCGCCGCCCGCCGCCCGCCCGGCCTCGGCCCACACCTTGCGGTTCCCCCGCGCCTCCCAGCCGTCCTTGTCCTCGCGGCCCGCACGGCCCCGGCCGGGCACCTGGTGCGGAGCCATGGCCCGCGGCGCCAGGAGCGGTGAGCGCTCCGCCCCTCGCTGTGCCGCCGCCCCGCGGAGGTCCACACAGCACGCTAGCCGCCTCCCGTCTTCCGGACCGTGGAAGCTCCGCCCCATTTATAGCAGCTTATTTGCATCTCAATGCGCCGATTGGCTGTGTGGACCCGGAGCTGCCAACCGCGAGGCTCACCGCGGCCAATGGGAGTGGCGCGCTTTGTCTAGCCCCGGCCGGCCGGCAGCTGGCGGGGCGGGCCCCGGGCCAGGCCTGGGTGACCCCAGGGGCGCCACTGGGGGGCGAAGGCCCGGGGCTGTGGCCGAGAGTGCTGCTTCCTTCCTCCGGCTGCGTGGGGATCCGGGGCTGCTGGTCTCCGACAGGGGCTCTTCGCGCGTCTCCCCACGCGGGCAGCCCTGCATCCGGGCCCCCCACCCCGTGCGTCCGACCAGCGCGCCTTGTCTTTCCCAGTTCACCCAGGCCGTCGGGGGGGACGCGGGCGGCAGCCCAGCCCCGGGTCAACGCGGTGGTCTCCGGACCCGGAAGGGACTCGGGGCGGGTCAGGTGGGCGCGAAGCCCGGGGACGTGGAGAGTCGGGCAGCGACGTTGGGTTGGGGTCAGGGTCAGACCCCGTGCGGACACCCGCAGTCCCCACTCGCGCAGAATCCTAGGGGCGGGCGGGGCACTGGGGTCACTTCTTGGGCTCTCCGCCCTTGGGCCCAGCCTTTGCTGGCTACCCCCCAACGCCCAGAATTTGCCCACTCTTCTCTGTCCCCACGCCCTCCCCTCTGAGCACCCCTATTTCCCCGTCCCCTTTGACCCTGCTCGGCCTCCACCCTCCCTGTCCCCTTTCCTCCCTGCCAAGTCCCCTCCGAGTCTCCCTCCCCCCGGCCTGGTTGCGGAGCTGCTGTCTGGCCCGTAATTTGATGCCCGTGACAGTTGGCAGCTGCAGCCGCGCCAAGAGCGACAGGTGCGGGCCGCGCCTTTGTCCCGCCCGCTTTGTCCGGGCGGCGGGCACGCTTGTGTCTGCAGACGTTCGCGACCCCCCCGGCCTGGGCGCCCATCTGCCGGCCCCGCCTCACCGCGGGGGGTGCGTGGGCGGAGAGGGGCCCTGAGGACCTTTCCCCCCAGCCAGGCCTGTATCTCTCCCCACCTGGCGGGCTCTTGGCCCTCGCACACACCCGGCCTTCCGGGAACAGCTCCAACCTTCAGTGGCTGAGTCCTCGGTTTCCGTAGGGGACCGTGCTCTGCCCCATCTATCCGGTCTACCCTACTCTCCTGTGTTGGGATTGTCGGGCTGCTGTGAGCACTTGTACTCTATGAGTGTCTTATCTAGGATGCCCCACTACCTCCCAGTGCCCCAGCACAAAACCTGACCCCCGGAAGGGCTGGGTGGGACGGGAAGTGGGGGCAGAGGGGATCACCTAGGAGGAGCCCTGAGCATGGTCCTGGGGCTGGACAGAGACCCCGCCCTCCCAAAGATGGGTCTGGCAGACCTCGAGCTTCAGGCCTCAGGCCGGATGAATTAGGTGAAAGTCAAATCCCCAATCCCCAGCCCTTGCCCACACTTGCCCGTTCCCACTCTGCCTCTGAGATAGCCCTGTGATCAGAATCGGACTTGCCTAGCCTGTCATCGCTCGCCTACTGTGAACCCACACTTTATCCCACGGCCTCGTCTCCTCAAGAGCTTGCTGTCTTCCACCCACCTTCTGGGCTGCAGAGACGCCCCCAGGGTTAAGGCTGACAGGGTGAGCACTGGAGGGGGGTCCCAAAGGAGCCTGGAGCTGTCTTTCCTTCAGCACTTAGTGTCACCGCCCAGGAAAGGAGACTCCTGAGTGGCTGCAGTTAAATTTCCACTACTTGGAGAAACTGAGATAGGGAAGAATAAACTCAGCAATGTTTCTTTCTTTTTTTTTTTTTTGGTACTGGGGATCGAACTCGGGACCTTGTGCTTTCGAGGCAGGCACCGGAACCACTGAGCTAACTCCCCGGCCCTCACCAGTATTTCTTGCACTCCCAAGTGTGCAAACTATTTCATACTCCTATTATCCAAGAGAACAAGGCTAAACACATTTTAGGACGCTCTGCATAAAATGGAGTTACAGGGGACATCAGGATCAGGGTCTGGGGGAGGCCTCTGGGTAAAGACCCGTGGGTCCCCTGATTAACCAAGGAATTGAGTGCAGGGGAACAGAGGAAGACGTGATAAAGGCAAATGATACAAGAAGAAAAGGCAACAAGGAAGTCCAGGAAAAACAAGAAGTTGCCCAAGAAAAGGAATGTAATCTTAGCACATCTGGGCATAGGAGCCAAGAATTCTGTCACAGTCACAACAACGAAACACTATAAATTTTCAAGATTTAGAATCAATCTACAGAGAAGGCAAGGACGACTTGTTTATGGCTATAGGGCACAAAACGGGGGAGGTATACTGTCTTAGAGTTAAGGGAGAGAGAAATTAAGCCATAAGAAATGTGCCCTGTGACCCGCACCCCTGCGAGAAGGAGCACTAGGACAAGGCAAGGCATTTGAGTCAGCAAGTCCTTGGCTGGACTGGAAGTTGCCTGAGGCCCCAGCTGTGAAATCAGGTGGTCTCCCTAGGGCCCATCAACAAGTGGCTTGGACTTTCTTTTTTCTTTTCTTTTTTTTTGGTACTGGGGAGGCTTGGACTTTCTGTCTCAGAAGCCAGGCTGCCCCATTATGGGGCCACCCAGCCCCCCTTCTTTGGGCCTCCCCTAGCTGCTCCACATCCTGCCATTTGTCCCTTGAACTGATCCAGTCTTCAAAGTCTGCCTGAGTGCAGACTTCCTGAGCATTTGGACCTTTTGATCCCCACAGAGCCAGCAGCAGAGGCTGGGCAAGGCCATGGTGACCACAGGGGACGAGTTAGCAGTCTGAGTGGAACGGCAGACCATAAATCCCCAGGGAACAAAGGCAGTGGCCAGCCTGCAGACGTCCAGGCCCTGGTGGGCAGTCTGCCAAGAGCCTGAGATCTTCTGGTTTGGAAATAAGGAGATGGGTACCCTTGGGGTTATATGGTGAAGAGAAACACAACAAAGTCTCTGGAGGTCGCTTGGGTCAGTGAGCAGCCAGCTCTGGCCATGAGGGTGGGGTGCAGAGCTGCTGGCCAGGACTTCGCCAGGTCCTCTCATCAGCACTTGGCGGGAGACAGCTAGCTTTCTGGAGGCTGGCCACTGGGTCCAAGATCATTTGCCCTCTGCCCCAACCCCAGTGTCCACCTCTGTGGCCTGGTCATCATTGTAGAAAGGGCTAGAGTGGGGGGATGGGGCCAGAAGTGTGCATTGTCCCCACAGGGACCCAAAACATTTCTGCATGACATCCTGTGTCTTCAGCACTGTGGTCAGCACACAGGCAGCCAGCCCAGGTGCAGCAGAGGAGGGCGGAGAAGGGGACACGGTGAGTGCGGAGGTGGAGGCAGAGTGCAGGGTAGCTCGGAGCCCAGCAGCCCACCTGCCATTTGCAAGTGGTGGTGGTGTTTGCGGGGCCAGAGTGCACGGGAAGGGAGGGTGATGCAGAGGGCACTGGGGAGAAGCAAACTGTCCTAGGGAAGCCCTGAGGAGGCTTTGGGTCCAGGCTTTCCCAATGCAGAACCTTTGGAGTTCTTTTGTAAAAATCCTCTTGGTTCTCTTCATGTCCGGCAGTTTTCTGACTGTGCTGTTAACACACACAGGGCTGGGGTGTTGCTCAATAGCAGAGCCTGTGCTTAGCATGTGTGAAGCCCCAGGTTGGATCCCCAGCAACACAGAACAAACGCACAAACAAAATAAATATACAAGTGAAAATAAAAATATACCTGCTTTATTTACCAATTTTCTAAAAGGCAAAAAAGTCATAAAAAGACACAAGCAGTCACACAAATATATTGCACTGGGTGAAGGAAGTTTGGTTTGCACACAAAACAAACCACTTGTCCAGCAAGGCTCAACAAATCGTTACACAAACTCTGAGAGCTTATTTACGTATCTTGTCAAGAATATATGAAAAAGAAGGCTCAGTTGAAATAGAGAAAGAGTTTTAGGACACCGGGTAAGCACACACGCCAAAGGAAACAGGACTCGGTGCCTGGCAGCGTGTAAACAGACTCACAACATTACCTAAGTCAGCTTCTTAGCAGTTAACAATCAATGAGGAGACATTAAATAACAAAACAACACTGAGGGCAAACATTCAGGACCGCAGAGAGAATGTTTTGGCAGCGGTCTTTAGGTAAGGTAAGTGTAACCTCAGGCTATAATCTACCCTCCAGATCTGGCCTTGAGGCAGGCAGCAGCCCCTAACACCTAACTTCCATCAAAGTGTGCTCCTACCTTATCTTGGACATCTTCAGGTGATGTTGCTTTGTAAATTAAAAAATAAAGCATTCTTCACTCAGGAGGCTGAGGCAGGAGGATCACTGTATGTTTGAGGCCAGCCTGGGATACATAGTGAGTTCAAGGCCAGCCTGAACTACACAGGGAGACCCTGTCTCAAAAAAAAAAAAAAGTTCTTGCATTTATAAGAAACAGGATTGATATTCAGGCATGAGGCAGTTTACTGTGAAAACCAGCTGTGGACAGGAGCCCCCACCTTTCAGCCGCTTCTGTCAAAGGACAGGATACCCTGCTGCCTTTCAAGCTTCAGGAACTTGGGCCAGTTGTAAGTCAGGTGGCCAAGGGTGGCAATTCTTCACACCAGGGACTAGTATTAGGCTTTCCCAAACAGTGCCTGGTACGTCGGATGCAGCGTGAGGTTTGGTGAAGCCGGGCAGGGTGGCCTCGTTCTCCCCAAGGGCTCAGGTGACCTAAATGCCAATAGCGCTGGGAGGTGCCAGGGCAGAGGGCAGACGCTGTGCAGCCCGCACAGACCCTCTGCACATTTCTACACCATTCCTGCACTCTTTTTAGACTGTCATGGCCAACGTGTAGAGAAGAGCCGTGTAGCAACAGTGTCAAGTCTTCACCAAGAGCTCTCTGCACACCAGGCTTTGCCAAGGCATTAGGGACTCAGCTGCATTTGTCCTTCGGTTGGAGCCTCAGACATCGGCTCCGGCACAGCGGCACCAGCACCGGCATTAATCTGATGGAACTGGTCACACAAACCCCTAGTCTGCGTCCACCCAGAGCCGACGTTTCAACTTCCCTCAGTACAAACAAAAGCTGTGTCACACTGAAAGGCTTCCCCTGCAGTACCCAAGGCCAAGGCTGTGCAATTAGGCTGATGCACATGTTTTCAGAGAACATTCTGGAGGGAGATCAGGAGCAGCTGATGAGTGCTGGCAAACACCTGACTGGACTAATGACAACTTAGGTAAAAATGGCCCTGAGAGGGCAGAGAGTTGATCCAATCCAAACAGACCCTGGGAAAGCTTCAGAAAGTAGGAGCCTTCAGCTCAGAACTGTACGCGGCTTCCCAGTGATTTGTCACAGCCTGCCTGGTGTCTTGGAACAACCTGCAGGGGCTGGCAGGGGCTGGCACACTGGACGGAAGTGCCATCCCAGTCAGGGGCTCTCAGGCACTGGAGCTGCCTCCCTGACACTCACAAAGAGGAACAACGTCCTCAAGTTCAACAGCATCCCACATCTCAACCCACCCCCCAAACTCCACGTTTATACTGCAAATACGAAAATGTATTTGTCTAAATCCTCCCCTCCATAGCCTGAAGTCACCCTTCAGAAACATGGTTTTTTTCTAAAACAAAAAAAAGCAACGTAAGTAAACATGTCCATCTCATTAGAAACAAACGTGAAGGTCTGTGTCTCCCAAGCACCAGCTCTTGGAGACCGTCGCCATCACGCTGGGCTATGTCCGCTTTTCCTTCTCCTGACCCAGGGGGTGTCCCTTCTTTTCTTTGGTGTCTAAGGCGTCGCTCAGTCCCAGGGAGGGGACGTCTTCCTCATACGGCACACACACGCTGCCTTTCTCCTCGCTTTCACAGTAAACACATGCCTGAGAAGAGAACAGTTGACACTGGTAAGGGCCTGGGTCCTAAGGTCTTGGTTGCAGTTGTTCAACACGAGCAAGGCTAAAGCAAGAGGACTGCAAGTACAAGGCCAGCCTGGGCAACTTCAGGAAACTATCTCAAAATGAAATTTATTACTTTTCATCTTTTGCAGTACTGGGGATTGAACTCTAGCCCTGTTCACTGAGTTATATCCCTAGCTCTTCTCAAAACTTTAAAAACATTTTTTGTTTTTGGACACAGAGTCTCACTATGTCCTTTAGGGAGGCCTTCAACTCATGGCAGTCCCCTGCCTCAGCCTCCTGAGTGCTGGGATTATAGGTGTGCACCACCATGCCTAGTCTCAAAATGAAATTTTAAAAAGAGAGCTCAGTGGTCCCTGGGTTGAATTCCCAGTACCAGAAGAAAAAAAAAAATCAAAATGCAGCTGGCTGATGTCAGCTGTCACAGCTGTGTGGCTGCTGGCAATAGAGGCAAAGCCCCGAACTTGGGAGCTGGATTCTGGTCAGGAAAGGGACACTGAGCTAAACCGGAGGAGCTCCACAGTCCGCTGGAGACAAGAATGCCTTGCTAAATGGAACGAGGTGTGTCAGCTGTGTGGAGTACAATGGCGGCTTAAAATGCATGGGCTTTCGAAAAGGGCAGAGAGGAGCTGCTGAGGATTCACCGCCATCCCTGCGTCCTCCCCTGCCCCTGTAGTATGGTGGACTCAGAAAGCACGTGACTTCGGAGACCAGGGCACAAAGGCACCGTGGTCTCTGCTGGTTCTCACTTCCACATCACGAGGACACCCAAAGAGCCGCTGCAAGGAACTGAGGCCTCCTATCAACAGCCAGGACCCTAGGAGCCCCAGCCGTGCTGCCTTCTGCTTCTCACAGAAGCTGAGCCAGGACCACCCAGCTGAGGAGCTCTCCAACTCCTGGCTTCTGGGTCTCTGTGATGCACTAGTACTGTGCGAAGGCCCAGATCCTGGGGTTGGGTGCTGTGCGGCCGTGGGGAGGTGATACAGAGGCAAGTGAGAAAGGCCTGAAGGAAGCTGGAGTGAGGACAGACGAAGGGCAGTGCCAGGGTCCTGTGGCAGGTGCCTGACCAGAAATCAGGAGCCCAGAGCACAGGAGTGCAGGGGCCGAGGAGAAGAGCCACAGGGGCGAGACACCAGATGTGGGGGCAGATTTGTGTGACTGTGTGGCCTGTATTCGGGCTGCGCCGGGACCTGGTTGGAAGAGGTTTGGGCCGAGAGGTGATGCGCTCAATCAGGAGGCCCCTCTGACAGGCAGGTGAAGCCCCATCCTGGGGCTGGGGTGCTGTCCACCCCAAGGCTGAGCACTCTGCTCTGTGAACACAAGACTGCAGAGAGGAGAGTCCCCGGTGGCTCGGCTCTGTGGGTCGTGGCCACAGGGACTGGAAGAAGGGGGATGCGTGCAGTGGCTTTCTTCTAGGATAACTGGGAGCTGGGTTTGGGGTACATCGAGTTCCACAGGGAGCCGGGTGTGGGGGCACACACCTGCAAACCCACACTCTGGGAGGGTGAGGAAGGAGGCTCGAAGGTCTGAGTCCAGCCTGGGCAACTTATCAAGACCTTGTCTCAAAGAACTAAAAAAGGGCTGAAGGGCCAGGGATTTAGCTCAGCGGTTCTGCCGCCTACCTCGAAAGTGCAAGGTCCCAAGTTCAATCCCCGGTACCAAAAATAAATAAATAAATAAATACAAGGGCTCAGCTGTAGCTTAGTGCCAAGGCCCTGGGTTCCATCTCCAATTCCAAAAAAAAAAAAAGCTCCAGAAGGGGCTGGACTGGAGATAGATGTCATGGAATGAGTGCACACACCCCAGGGATGTCGTCCCCAGTCCAGAGACCCAGAGGCAGGGGCACCAGCTCTCCAGGACACGGAGTGGCTGTCGCTGGCTCCCAGCGGCCTGCAGGTGGAGGACTGAGCAAGGTTGTCACCTGCAGCGGCTGGAGACCTGGGGACCGAGGCAAGGGCAGCTTTGGCGCGGGCGTGGTAGGGGTGAAGCTGCCTGGGTCAGGACAGCAACGGGCTAGGGGCACTCGTGGCTTTGAACTCTTGGAGAGGGGCTGTGCAGGGTTGGCATCAAGGGTTTTAACAACAGGAAAGGGATTTGGTTTTGTTAAACAGAAAACTGAACTGAAGAAAGGGGGAGAGCCTCAAATTTCCGCAAGCCCAGGTATGCAGACCTTCCGGATGCTGGAAGGACGTTCCCTGCAGTGGACTTAACAAACTTGCAGAGCCTTTTTCTTTTTAAAAATAAACATTAAGGGTCAGGGATTTAGCTCAGTGGTTCCGTCACCTGCCTTGCAAGCGCAAGAACCTGAGTTCGATCCCTGGTACCAAAAAAATCCAAAACCCCAAAACCAAAAAACAAAACAAAAACCAAAGGGGCCGGGGATTTAGCTCAGTGGTTCTGCCGCCTGCCTTGCAAGCGCAAGGACCCGAGTTCGATCCCCGGTACCAAAAAAAACAAAAACAAAAACAGAAACCAAAGACAAACAAAGAAAAACTAAAGAAAATAAACATTAAGACATTTCAATCTCCAGAGCTGCTGTGACGACAGTACGGTAGACACCGGAGCTCACCGCCACGTCAATGGCCGCGGGCAGGCCGCCCGTCTGCACCCATGCGTGCACCTCACACAGCTCCCGCCTCTGGGCCTCCGTGAACCGGGGCTGGGACTTCTGCAGCAGCTGGAGCTTCTCTCTGTCCTCCTGCAAGACCGTCTCCAGATCCCTGGGGGACATTTAGGGTAGGTGAGCTTCACACTGACCTGTTTTCTACTTACTTGAAATTTCAACATTATAACACAGTCGTGGAAGCTTTGGTTTAATGCAAACTTCCTTTTGTTTAAGACAAATTATCTTGCTCATTTACCCATTTATTTATTTCTGAGACAGGGTCTCACTCTGCAGTGCTGGTGGCCTCGAACTCACTGTGGAGCCCGGGCTAGCCTTGAACTTGCATCGATCCTTTTGCCTCAGCCTCTGAGTGCTGGGGATCCAGGCCGGCTCCACCACACATGAGTATCTGCCTTGCTTAAAGTAACTTGATCTCCTCAGCAACTGCCTATAGTCTTTCTATTAAAATGATAATTTGGGTCAAGATTTCAGTTTTCCTTTGATGTGCTGCTGGGTATCAGCCCTGCTGGTTAAAGCGAACAACGCTGAGCACCCACACCTGGCCCAGCCGACACTGGCCTGTACTGCAGCTGCCCAGAGGGAGACCTGAGTCTCCCCTGATTGACCAGAAGCCCCATGGCCTTGCTCGGAGTTAATCCTGGCCTTCTGCTTTCCCTGCCTCACAGCCTCTGCTGTGAGGGTACACAGGGTCCTCAGCAAGGGCAGGGGAGACTGGGGTCTTCAACTCTCAGGCAGGCAGAGGGACAGACATCCATCGCCAAGCAGAGCACAGAAGTCAGGCTTGGCACCGGGCAGTGGCTGCTGCAGCTCACTTGGCCACTCTGTGGGTCACGGGGGAGCCTCGCTTCTCCTCCTCACACCCGCCGAGTCTGTGCACAACAGGGCTTCCCGGGGTGCCTGCTCATCCTAAGGACGACCTCCTGCTCTGGGGACTCCTTCACCCAGCCCTTCCAGGGTCCCAGCAGACGCCTGAGTGGTTACCGGGAGGGCAGCTGGTATGTCATCCTGACACTGTCGTCGGCCTCTGCCATCAGCAGCCAGATGGGGTCTTGCAGGACGTACTTGATGAAATGCCCGCTCTCCTCCATGTCTGTGTTCAGTTTTGCTTTGTGGTTATTCTCTGAGGAGTCAATGCTTCCGAAGTATTTGCTGGTATGACTCGTGTCACTGCTGCCTATGGAAACAGGAATGTGGCAGGTCAGAACAGTGACGTATGGAATGAGCCCTGCATGCGTGCTTGTGCAGTCACTACTTGGTGAGCTGGGGTTTGCTGGGTAATGGGGCCTGTGCAGGTGGATCTTCCCTTTCTTTCCAATGCTTGAAGGAGCCCATGACTTGAACATGGAGCCCTGGCCCTGGGGAGGGGTTCTTGCCTGGGGCCCCTGAGCTGGGGTGGCAGAATCAGAGCTCTGCCTTGCTTCCCGAGCTCATGCCATCTGCAGCTCTGGGACAGGGCTGTGTCTGAAGCCCATGGAGAGGCGCAGTCCTAAGTGAGCAGCAGCCGCAGTGCCCCTTGGGGCTGGGCACAGGCCTGGAGCCCAGCAAACGGGGCTTAGGTCTAAGCACAGCGTGAGTGACTGTCACCTGTGAGGTGATGGTAAGGTGTACCAGCGGGCAAACGTTTGCACAAGCCCAGCTAACTTAGGAGGACACTGCTGCCCAGGAGCAGGGCTGCCAGGGGCGAGGCCAGCAGTGACACTGAAACCGGAAGTGAACAGGTAAGATGTGGAATTCTGCTGGCAGGCCCTGCACATCCTAGGATGTGTGTACCACTGAGGGGTGGCAGGGCGATGTGCCCCATGCACAGACGCTGGCCTATGATTCTGGTGCCAACCCATGTCCAGGACCACCGTACCTGCCCCACTTCGGGACGCGTCACAGCCCAGTGAGCTGGAGCCCAGGGAATCCGAGGTGGCAGAGGCCCCGCTCCCAGACAGGGCTGACCCGGTGGCTGAGCAGAGGTCCTCGTTCAGCAGGAGGTTGAGCAGATCGCTGGATGCGGACAGGGCGTCGCTGTTCTGAGCGTCTGAGGGTTCGTCGTGCTATGGCACAGGGAGAAGACAGCAGTTTGTGGGGGCTCGGTCCCAACAGGGCACACACAGTGAGGCAGAGGAAGTCGGGGTATGTGGGACCAGTGAGGGTCTCGCTGATGCCACCTAATCGAGTAGGAGTTGGGGACAGTCCCAGCAGGCCTCGGGCTTGGGCTCCCGCGAAGAGCCTAAGTCCATGGTTTCACGGACAGCGGGCCTGGAGCAAGGGAAGGCTGTCTACACGGCCACTTGTCACGGTGGCCGAGGCCTGGCACCTTAGGAGTGAGGCTGGCGCACCCCTGGCCCTCGACCTCAGAAACAGGACTCCAGAGGGCGGAGACATCCCAGAGACCCGGTGTGTGTTTATACTTGGCTGCCTCGATGGCACAGAGCTCCCTGGGAAACACTGACAGAGCAGAGTGCAGGCCAGGGCGCCCAAGGCTCTGGGGCACCGACCCTGTGGCCACACTGCTCCGCCCTTCCCTGCCTCCCTTGGAGCCAGGCTTTCTCTGGCACTTCACTTCAAGAAGGATGCGGCTGGAACCTGACTTGGTGTTTTTTGCTAGAAGACTCATTTAAACACCGGAGACCCATAAACCCTCTCAAGTCATGCGCTACTGTCAGGACTCTGCGTGGACACAGGCAGCCTATCACCCTGCGCTCTGGTCCCCAGCTGTGAAAGCTGACAGTCAACTCTGACAGGGCTGAGCAGCTGGGAAACACTAACGTCCAGCACAGTTCGGTTGGTAGGAACCTCAGGCACACCCAGAGGCCCGCATCTGCGCCCGCCTCAGGGAAGGATCCCCGGGAATCCTTACTGTTGGAGGCGCCTTGGGCTGCCGGTCTCGAGCAGGTGTGCAGTCCGGCCCAGCTGTCACTGTCCCCGTGGCCCCCGTGCTGCCCTCAGGTGCCTCCTCCAGCTGCAGCAGGTTGAGCTGCAGGGGCGAGCTGCCTCGGGACTGGAAGAGGGGCGGAGATGCCCTGCCTGTGGCCACCGTGACTGACAGTGGGGTGGCAGGATTGGCCGGGCGGGAGCACAGCTGCTGGGGGAGTGAGGTCCGACTGGGGAACTCAGGCTGGGAGGCAGGGGCCATCTCGGAGGCAGGTGTGGGCTGGCCTGGAAAGATGGCCTGGGGCAGGCTCGAAGTGGCCGGGAAGGGGTAGCTGGGGAGCACGAAGGCCATGACAGGGGCCACGGGGGCAGTGAAAGGCAGGGGCTGCATTGCAAACTCGGGCTGGGTGCCCATGGCCACGGCGGGCACCGCAAAACTGGCATGAGGCACGGCTGGTGGTGGTGCCACGGCCCCTGGCGCCGACACTATTCCTGGTGCTGGGAACACGGGCAGGGAGTAAGAGGCCACAGGGGCAGGGAAGGGCAGCGTGGGGCAGCTGGACTGAGACGTGTCCGAGGGTGACCAGGCAGTGGCATTCAGGCCCACGAAGGAGGGTCGGTGGGGCGGGGGCCCCCCAGACCCCGTGCTCTCAGAGGAGTCCCGAGGTTTTGCCCGTTTGGACTTCAGTTTTCTATTTTTGCTAGTTTTTTTCCAAGATGAATCCATTCCAGAAGCATTTCTTAGTCCAGGAGCCACTGAAATGTGGAGAAAACACTAGAGTCAAAATTAAAAATGTATGTGGATCCTTTACATCAACTCTCAGAGACTCCCAGGACTGTGCAAACCTAGGACCACTTTTAATTGCAGGATCACCTCCCTTCTTTCTGGCATGACTGTGGTTTTCTTTAAAGATAAGTGGTACTAAAAGGGCTCTATTTGTCCAAAATAAAAATAAAGACAGTTAGAAGCTGGTGAGTCTCTGCTGTTCCCCAAGACTTGGACAAAAATTTTGGTTTCTGAAACCTGGAAAACAGAACCACAGACCTCATCTAATGTCCTTATTTTTCAACTTTACACGTTTGATCACTGCTGCTCCTTAAAGAGGGCTTTCTGGCTTCACTGTCAAAGCCTGAGCAGGAGCCAAAGCTCAGAGGATGAATCCATTGTGGATCCCAAGTTTCCCCCAAAGGTCTATGTGTTGGAGGCTTGGTCCTCAGTCTGGGCAGAACCTTTAGGGGGTGGGCCTAGTGGGAGGAAGTGAGGTCACTGGGGCCGTGGCCTGGGATATGGGACCCCACCCCTTCCTTCCTCTCTCACTTTGCTCCCTGCCTGCCATGATATGAGCAGCATCTCCAACATGTACTCCACCACGATGTTCTGCCTCACCCCAGGCTCAAAGCAACAGAGATAAGGAACAGAAACCATGAGCCAAAATAGATCTTTCCTCCTTATAAACTGGATCTTAGGGATTTTGTCACAGTGATGGAAAGCTGACTGACAGTCACATTTGCCCTCAGAACCACATTCTCCCTCTCTGATGGCAGGTGCTGCTGAGATCAGGCTTTCTCCAGGACGATGTGGGACTGAACCCTAATGGAAAGGACTCTGGGTGCGTCCTCAGGACCCCTGGAGGATCCCTGGAACTTGTTTCTCTCTCACTTCAGGCAGAGTAACTGGAGCCTTGGGCAGAAGCTATGTGGGATTCTCCTGTCCACAGGGCTGAGGGGTTCTGCACCTCTGTTACAGCTGAAGGCAAACAGGTAGCCCAACTGTTATGATTTAGGGCTGAAATGGCCCCCCAAAATCTCACGTGTATGGAAGGTGACTGGATTCTGGGGTTCTGTGCTCACGGATTCATCCTCTGAGTGCCGCAGCTGAATGTGCTGTTAGAAGGAGGGGCCTGCATGGAGGTGGTCCCTGGGACGTGACCTGGAAAGGTGTATTCTTGTCCCCAACTCCTCCCTTCTCCCTTCTTCCTGGCAGCTTTTCCTCTGTCCAGGCCCCTCTGCCATCTTGGTCCAGCCTTGGAGCCCACCAACCATGGACTGAAGCCTAAACCTCTCCCCCTTTACGTTGTGGGTGTTGTGTATCTTGTCCCTGGGATGACAAACTGACTAAGACCAGAATAGCTAATATATGAGTGGGGTGTTGAGGTTCAGCCTGTTTGGCAGTTTCCTACTGGAAATCTGTCCCTGGAGGGAGCTGTGGCTACAGTACTGGGTGTCTAGGTTATCGCATCCAGGTCTGGGCGAGATGCCCCAAGCAGCTGTGCACACACCACGGGGTGTCCGGCTGCGACTGCACTGCACTGAGCACACGGGGTGCTCGGGACTGGGGAGCGGGTCCTTTTCCCACTGCCACAAAGGTTCTCAGGGGCTGTCAGTAGCCTTGAGTGGGGAAGAAGGAAAAAGATGAGAAGAGACCTAACCCTGTTATAGCTCTGTGGCAGTGTGTGCTCAGCATGCTCAAGGCCCTAGGTTCAATCCCCAGCACCCAGAACAAAAACAACAGGAAAGGAAAAGGTGGAACCTTAAGGAGGTGCAGCTCCTCTAACCTCGTGGCTCATAGGTGTTCCCTGGGTGTCTGCCCAGGAGCCAGGGGAGGAGGTCCTGGTGGTAACCCCGGGCTCACTGGTTCTGCGCTGAGCCGAGAGGGGAATGGCATCTCTGGCCAGTGCAGCCCCGTCTAGGGGTGCAGGTGGGAGGCTGGGTCAGGGGCCGTGTCCTGTCCACGGGGTGCGGCTGGTAGTGAGGTACTGGCAGGAGCCAGGGGCGGTCACAGCCCGGGCCCTGCCTGTGGGGTACTGGCAAGTGGCTGGGGTGAGGCTCTGGGATCAGAAGGCGGGTGAAGAAGTAGGCTATGTTAGTTCACCCCTTAACTTCGAGCACTGCAGGCTTCTGTCCTGAAGGGCACCTTCATGCACCGTGGGGTCTGCCACCCACTGGGGTCTGCAGCGCGGGCCTGGGGCCAGCCTGGCCAAGGACAAGGGCAGAGCTTGCTCCCTCCGTCCTCCAGGGATTCTGACAAGCTGCCCACCAGCACCATGCTCGTTCCTTTACGGCTGAACAGGCTGCTTCTCCCGGGGTCCTGTCTGGTGGCAGGTGGGGTCCCCCCCATGAAGTTTCCCAGCAAGGAAGGTGAGGCAGCCCAGCAATTGCCCTGATTGGCAGTCTGTGGGCTGGCCTGGGACTGTGCCCTTTCACAGCCCATTCCCTCGGGGGCAAGAGGATCTGTCCTTGAAACGTCCCCAGGCTGCACAGCTGTACAGAATCAACCTGCCTCACGGAGGGCTGTGTGACACATGGACATTTCTGAGCTGGGGATGTGGTGGTTCTGAGACCAGCTGGACTCAGTACTGTCAAGAAAAATGCTTTTGACTCCCTCATTCAGTTTGGGGTCACCGCTCACCACACTTGCTCGACTGTCCCCTGGATCTCTCCTGAAGGTAGTGCTGGCAGTGGGCCTGCAGGACGCCCAGCCGCCGTTCCTCCCGGAACTTCTGCAGGAAGCTCTGCTCCTCCTTCTGGGTGTGCGAGGCCAGCACCTCCTTGGTGAGGCCCAGCTTCTGCAGGGGCCCCTTCTCCTGGCTGGGGCCGCCCGGCAGGAAGTCCAGGGACTCAGGCCCGCTGGCGGCGTCCTCCACTGTTTCTGTAACGAGAAAGACACCTCTTGCTGTCACCACTGTTTATGGACAGCACAGGTCATTGGCTCAGAGTGACTCTAATGCCCATGGCGTGAGGAGGGACCCAGCCTTCCTCTGGCTTCCTGAGGACACTGAGTAAAAGGCCAAGAACACAGCCAGGAAATCCCAGCCCCTGGGGCTCAGGACTCAGCCTTCTTAGCAAATGGACGCGGAGGAGACTTTGCCAGGCTGACCGTGGCACCCAGAACAAACAGGCAGGGTCAGGGCCAGACAGTAGCAGTTGTGACCACATGGCCTATGGGGCTGGACAGGGCAGGGCAGGTGGGCCCCTGGCTGTCCTGAAGAGGAGGCTTGGGGACAGAACCTCCGACAGGCACTGTGCATCTCCTCAACTGCTCTCCTTAGTGAAGCACACATTCAAGGTGCATTTTCCTGACTATTCTGAAGAGCAGCAGACAGCCAAGAATGCCTGGGGCTGCAAGTCTTCCCAAGACCCATATGGGTGCCCGTCCTTCCCCGGGAGGCGAGGCTGGGGAGGACAGGCCCTGGGCCCATCCAGGGACAACAGGAGGGGGGCTGGGTCCCAGTGCTGTCACTGCCGAGGGGCAGGCCATACTCCGCCCTGCATTTTAGGGGATGGATTTCCTGGAGCCCTCCTCCTGGGTTGTGGTGGGATCCTCTGAAAAGCTTAGCTGAATTTGAAAGTTTAAGATGGCAGTGAAACGTCTGATCGTTATTTATAAGATTGCATCTCTCCCAGTAGCCCCAAGGAGCCTGCCAGCATACCTAACTCCGGCTGTGGCTTTTTGTCCCCAACATGGACGATGGTGCTGCTGTAACTGCACTGGCTGGTGAGGGACACCACGCTTTCAGCCTTGCTGGGCAGCGCCAGTGAGCTCAGGTGGGCGCTCACTTCTGCGTGGCTGCTCACCTTGGAGGGTGACGCGGCCTCTTTATGGGAGAGAGTAGGAACAGACAGACATGCGGTCAGGACAAACTGCTCAGCTGTGGAATGAAATGCAAGTGGCTGTGCAGCCCCATGCTGGGCTACAGTCCCCACCCTGTGGATCTTGGGCCTGGAGAAAGCTGGGGAAGTGAATTCTGAGGCAAGAACAGTCTCTGACTTAGACCCCGAGTCCCCACTGGGGCACAGCAGCCAGGTAGCTGGGGCTCTGTCTGGACCCATGGCACCCGGTGGTCTTCGGCAAGAGACTTCTCCCGAAAACAGGAAGTGGCCATACAGGGCAGTGTCAGCAAGCAATTTACTTCTCTGTTTCTCTGTGCATGACTGTCCAACCTCTCATGTGTCATTCAGCAAGGGGATGCCCTGTTTCTGATCCTGCCTGTGCGCCCCGCAACAGAGCACAGGGCATTCACCTGACCGGGGGCGGGGGGGGGGCGGTGGCACGCTGCCTCTCACAGGCTGGGGGCCTGCCCTCAGTGACAACACAAGACCTGCACAGCTACAGGAGTGGGGCTCAGGTGTCCCTAGACCACCAGCAGGCCGAACGGATTCCTGTTCTCAACACCCAGTGCTCCAAGACCAGAATTACCCTGACCTCCAGCTTGTAAAAGGTCGCTGACTCTCGAGCCACTTTGATCATTTTTAAAATAGCCGACGGTCTTACTCTGTATCCATGAGCCAATCTGATTAGTACAGGAGGGAGTCTTAGGGTTTAAGTGGACGTGGGATCCCCTGGGGCGGAAGTGAGCTCACTGGACCGCTCAGAGCAGACAAGGTACCTCCGGCGTGCAGCCCGCGGCTGACTGTGGCCTTTCGGGACGGGATGTTTGCAGGGAACTCGCACTTCCTCTTCAGGGTGGCGGCCTCATTGCAGCTCTCCAAGTACCTGTGTGGACGGTGGGGTCCTCGATCAGTCAGAGGTGTGGACGGCACCTCAGGTCAAGGGGAAGGCTGGAAGTGCCCTGCGAACCTGATGACACTGTCCAGGCAGCTGATCTGCTGGTAGGAGCAGGTGGGCTGGTCCTTGCAGGCCAGCTCCTCGGGGAAGCTGGACTTGGGCAAGCTGGCCCCTGAGCTGTCGTTTACCGTGACAGGCACAGCCTTCACCTGAGCCAGGGCACCACTTTGCATTTCTGGAAAAGAAAAAAAAGACGCAACGATTCTTTCATCTAATACTCCTCCTTCCAAAGAGCATGCTGTTCATGAAGCATTTCACTTCTATCCAACGGCAGGACCAGGGATGCAGAATGTGCTTCCGAGAGTGCATACACAGTGACAGGCTGCTCTCTAGTGTGAGGCGGATACCCTCGAGTGCCAGGGCACCCTGCAGAGGGAGCTCCGAGGAGCTGCGCCCAGCGGGCCTGCTTCTCTCTGCTGCCAGGTGGCCCTGGGCCCAGGCTGTCCCCAGGGGTCAGGGCTCAGAGGGGAAAGGCCAGGCTGCAGACAACTCTGAACTGGGTGCCCGACAAGGTCCCAGGGGGCTCATGCCGCATTTTCAAGCAGAACGCTCAGCCAGCAGGCTCACACCTTAACGGCCACCTGGGTTCCAAGCTGCGGCCTCTGGCCTGTCCCCACCGTGGACAACACATGCCTGTGGCCCCAAAAGCCCTCAGGCCCAGAGCCCAGAGCTGCAGTTTCTGTTGCAGGCAACTCTGCAGACAGCTGTGTGCACATGCGTGTGCCAGTGTGTGCAAGAGCTAAGTGTGAGGGCACAGCTACTCACCCTGGAAGCCGGAGGGCGAGCCAAGCACCAAGGCCGGAGCTTGGGGCACACTTGGCAGGCGGGGTGGGGGCAGAGCCACAGCGCCACACCTGCACAGACCATGGGCAACAGTCCCTGCCACCCTCGCTCCTCTGCTGGGCAAGGAGAGGCATGCCACACACCCAGGAGGCAGCCTCGCTGCCCCGAGTGAGCCCTGGACCCGCCGCTGCCTCTCCACTGCACTAACATACTGGGGAGGAAACGGAGATTTTTTTCTTTTACCTGTAATAGGTTTTCTCTTTTGTTTTCCAAGTTCATGGGCAAATTGACTTTTGGTTTTGGTCTTGTTACCATTTTTACAAATGTCCTTGAAGAAAAACAAAACAGCACGTTATTCATCCTAGGAGGCCTCCTCCTATCTGTCCCCAGTGGGCCCCGGCACGGCTGGGATCGTTCTGGCTACACAGAGGTCAGGAGATCTGAGTGACCAATCAGGTGCCAAGCTGGGCAGGACTTGGGTGATAGCCCTGGAGATCAGCAGGAATGAAGCGAAGCAGCACGGGAGGCTTTCTTTTCTGCCTCCACTTAGATCTTCATGGCTGCTTGTGTTGCCCGCCTTAAAGATACTTTCCTCCAGATGTGTAACCGTAAGTCTGAGCTGCTTCAACTCGAAGGAGATTACAGCATAACGCTCGAGGGAACGACCCTGTCAGGTGCCGGGCTTGGGGGCTGCGGGGTGGCAAGGACAGAAAGGGACATACGGCTCTGCGGCGGTGGGACTCCTCGTGGCCGTTGCTGTCACTGGACGAAGTCTGGCTCATGAGGTGCTCGTGGGACCCATTGCTGCCCAGGCTCCCATAGCCACTGGAGCCGCTGTGGGGCACGGGCTGCAGGAGAGCAGACAGTGAGTGGACACGTGGCACCGCGGCGCCGTCCTCCCCCAGCGATTCAGAGGTTGGTGGCCTGGCCGAGGTTGTACAGCAAGACTTCCTGGGGGGGGCGCTGGGCCTAAGTCGAGGGTCAGGCCCCAGGGAAGACCTCTGGCCTCTCCCCAGTGTCCAGCTGAGGAGATGCTGAGCGAGATTAGTCCAACCTGCTCATCAGCACACACCTGCGGCCACCCAGTTCTACTGGGTTTCATAAAAGAAACCTGGCACAGCACTGTTAGGCTCTGTGGTCTCTAAAGAAGCCAAGACAGCCCAGTGTGGTGCCAACTGTGCCGCACTGGTTTCTCTGGGTGGCAATGTTCTACATGCCCTGGTGCTAGCGCCTGGCCCTCTGGTTAAGCTGCACTTCCACCAGGCAGGGTCCTGAGTGGACCTCGGGGCCAGGGTGGAGCTGGGTCTGGGTGTGGGTCCTGCTCCCTCCAGCTGCTGGCTCCCAGACAGATGCCTGGTTGCAGGGCTGGGAAAAGCTCAAGGGTGTGGGGGTCTTGGGCAGCAGAGACTGTGCCCACACTGGCCCTCGGGGACATCCAGGAAAGATGTCTGGAGCCATCTGAATGGCAGATCCACAACCAGGGCACGTGGGCCCCAGGGCAGCAGCGGGGTGGGGATGGCACAGGTACCCACCCACCTGCAGCAGCAGCCGGTGGATCTGCTCTGTGAGCTCCTGGACGCTGGGGTGCAGGGCCTTCTCCTCCACACAGGGGGGCGCCGCGAACACGTCCTCGTTCAAAGGGGCCCTGCGTGGTTTCAATGCATCCTGTTGCAAGGGCCCATCGGCCTCTCGGGTTTAACACCCACGCCAGCTGCCCCGCCCATGCACCTCCCCCTGGCCAGGTAAGGAGTCCCCTCCAGCTCCCCCACAGGGCCAGGTCTCTGGGCTCCACCTCTGCCCTCTGCTGGGAAAGTGGGGCCAGGCCAGATCCCAGGGAGCACACTCACACCCTGACTTTGTGCCTCCCGATGATGAAGGAGATCTTCCGGCTCCAGGGGTTGACGAAGCTAGACCAGCTGGTGTCCAGGGTGATGTACTCCCCGTTCCGGGCACGGAACCGGATAGGAGAATAGTCAAAAGGCTGCCCACTGGACTGCAGGACTGGGGATGGTGGGAACCCGTGTCAGGGCCGCAGAGCAGGCCAGGAGTCACGGTAGGCTCAGGGGTGTGAGCACCAGCTCCAGCCCTGCTCTGGCTCCTAACGACATGCGATGGTTTCCCGTGTCCCTGTGTCTAGGGCTGGGCTTGGTGGGGACCTGCGTCATTCTCTCCCCTGGCTGGTCAGTGCCTTCCCAGCCACCACTGAACAGGTGTCCCCTCCCATCACTGAAGCCGACAGTAAAACAGCCCGAGACCTCGGGACATCCAGCCACAAGGGACCCCACTCCTCTCTCGACTGTCCACAGCTGGGGCACTGGGACTCGGCGCAGAGCAGGGCATCGCCCCTGCTCACGCCCAGCCATTAACTCCTACGAACATGCGTCGTTGCAGGAAGGAGCTGAACCTACTCTTTCTGTGGATGGCCAGCATCAAGGGCCTGTCGCTGGGGTGCAGCTGCACGAGCACGGGCGTCTCAATCAGGTCCTGAGGTAGGTAGCCCAGGAGGGGGACTGCCCTGCAAGGCAAGGGGACATGTGTGAGTGGGGGCACTCTGGAAGACCACTGCCAGACAGCTGGCCGAGAGGGCCACTTCCGGGAGCCCCAGACCCAGGGGGCAGACTCCAGTGTCTCCAAAGGTCGGGCTTTGTGGAGGAACAGAAATCCCGCTTCTCTTTGAATTCAGAAGCCACGGGGATTCCAGGGTCCGGAGAGGCTGTGCCACAAATCGGGCTGTACTCCTGTCCCACGTGCTGCACTTGGGTCTGGTCTCCTGCAGGAGTAAAGCACATGTTGATTTTGCACTTCTCTTCGTAAGGTCTATCTCTTTTCTCATGGAGTCCACCAGTCTGGCCACATGTGGCCTGCTGTTTAACAGGCTCTGCCCGGAAAGCCCTCTCACACATGGGTCCAACTCAGGAAGTCTCCTTCTGTCACTTGGGTGACCTTGTCTAGTCCTCTGTGCTGGCTCCCCCAGGAGGGGCCGGGCCTTTGCTTCGTGGCTCAGGTCTTCTCCGAAGCGCTCACACTGCGTCTGGGGCACCCGTCCCTTGAGCTGGTCCCTGTCACTGGAACAGGCCCACTGCAGGGCCTCTGGTCCTGTTTACGGAGCCCTCACCGGTCAGCATCCCCAGGTCTCCTGCAGAGGTTTCCTCCCACTTTTCCTCTGTGTGGAAGGATGCCCTGCCATGCAGCTCCCAGGCTCTGCTCTGGTCCTGATGCTGCAGGGTGGGGTGCAGCCTCACCCGGAGACTCTCTGTAGCACCTCTCCAAGGTGGGTCCACAGGACACCTGAGCCAGCAGGGCTGCAGGTGACAGGGCCTGGCTTCGTGTAGATGACAGGGAGGACTGCCCTCCAAGCAGCAAGGAGGCGACTGGCCCGTCAGAAAGCCCAGGGTGCTGGTCCTGTGTGGCCACTTCCTGAGCTGCTTCCTGAGAACATGCTTCCCGTGCACTGCCACAGCCACTGGGTTTCGTGTTTTCATGCAACCAAGGAGGAGGAGCTGGGAGAAGGCACTTGGGGGCAGAACTGGGCATCTCTGAATCCAGCTGGGGTGGGGCCCTGGTGCGCAGGCTGGAAGACAGGCCCCTGGGGAGATCCCGACATGGTCCCTGCACCCGCCCCTTCTGTACCATCGCTTCTTTGGGATGAGTTTAAACAGGACCACGAGCACAGGCTCATCAGAACAACTACCAGCTTTCCAGAAACCTCCACTCACACCATTCATGTCTTACCGAGTTGTGTGTGTGTGTGGGGGGTACATGTGTGCATGTATGTACTACAGGTTGAACTCAGGACTTTAACGCGTGTCACGTCTCTAGCCCTTTTTAATTTTTGAGATGGGGTCTCAGTACATTACCCAGGCCGGGCTTAAACTTGAGACCCTCCTGCCTCAGCCTCCCAGAGTGCTGGGGTTACAGGTGTGCTCAGCCATAGCCAACTTTTAAAATAATAAGTAAAAAGAGTACACTATAAAATAATGATAGTAGTAGTGTTACATAACCCAGTGGCATATCTGTTTATCATTACCAGTGAGTATTACATAGCGTATGTACCTGTACGAGTCACACTTTCACGTGCCTGGAAGCGCAATAGGTTTGCTGGCCCCAGCAATATCACAATCACAGGAATTTCCTCGCGCTACAACCTCACAGTGGCCAAGGCATCACTTTGTGATAGGGATTTTCAGCTCCATCATGAACAAAAGAATCGAGACGCGTGAAGTCCATGTACAGTTCCCCATGATGAATGTAATCATTATGTACTGCAAATATGCAGTAGTAAAAGTAAAAATTTAAAACTAACTTTAAGAGGGGTGGGGATTTAGCTCAGTGGCTCTGGCACCTGCCTTACAATCACAAGGTCCTGAGTTTGATCCCCGGTACCAAAAAAAACACAAACTTTAAGGACCATCATCACACACACAGTCCACCACTGGCTAAGCATTATTAGCACACAACTGCATGCTGCGGTTTCTGCCTACTGTGTAAGTGAGATCCAGACAGCTGACTGTCTAGACTCGAAAGCTCACTGGGGCTCACTGAGTCATTACGAAGTAACTACCCACTGAGGACATGCGCAGACTCAGAGCATCTTGGGCACGCTGTCCACATGTAGATCTCAAGAGGGGTGTGTGTGTGTGTGTGTGTGTGTGTGTGTGTGTGTGTGTGTGTGTGTGCATGCGGGACGCCACTCACCTTTCATCCACATCCTGGAACAAACAATTCGGCGTGTGTGTAGTTGTGAAAATTCTCTTCTCTGGAGGAATTCGAGGGGCTGAAAGAACAGAATTTTGCACAAATTTCAGATCCTCAGAAGTAGTCGTATTACACCCACTAGAAATCACCACATGGTTTCAGGACTGGCAGCAATGGAAACTGAAGTGTGGACTTCAAGCAGCGAGCCCACCGCCCAGGGGCCAGGGCAGACCGAGGCCCTGACCACCAGTCACCAACCTGCTGCTCTCATCAGTCCCGCACACCAGGACCTCACGCCCACAGGGCCATGGGGCCACGCGGGCTTATCTCAGCAGAGCTGTGTTGGCTGGCCACTTTCAGTGTCTTTATTGTGAAACTAGAGTGCAAATTTAGGCTCAAAGTTCTCAGCAAATGCCACTGTGTTGGAGAACTTCACAGTTTCTAAGGGGACTCATCAAAGGTGACAGCATAATTTACATATAGTAAGTCATCTATCCAGAAATGTCCCTCAACTACTGAATTCCAAAGTCTCTTATTCTTGGAGACTGATAATTTGGGGGACTAACTTGTTGAAGTCTAGGTGGTCCCTCTAAATCCTTACTGAGTATTTGGAAGGGAATGCTCTATGAGCAGGATGCATCAGGCATGGTAAACAAAACCATATGCTTGCTTCAAAACACTTTTCTGTCACTGTGAAGAGTGCTTTGTGGGAATTGCTGTTGGCTTCTGAGGGGCACTGCCAGCTCCATTGACCCAGGGTACCCCAGGGCTCCTCCTGAACTTGCTCCCAGGGAGGCTGGGTCTTGTGACCCAAGGAGCTGCCCTGGCAGCAGAGCCATGCACTGCTCTGTCACCGTGGGGTAGCTCGAGGCACCACGGGATGCCAAGCGGGTGCCTAGCACTGTGGGTCCTCTGGGCTTGGAGAGGAGGGCTTGGATCCTGTTTCGGGCCACAGGCCAGGCTGCAGTGAGTGTGGGAAGAAGAGGGGACAGGGTGGAGGACATGGTGCCCCCACGGGCTTACCATAGAACCCAGAGCAGGTCGGCAGGAAGAGAAACCCAGAAGGGGGTCGGGGATTTAGCTCAGTGGTTCCGCCACCTGCCTCGAAAGCGTAAGGACCCGAGTTCGATCCCCAATACCAAAAAAAAGAAGCGAGAGAGAAAGCCAGGAGGAAGGCAGGACAGGCACAGGGGAAGGAGAGCGCCACACTTGGTATCTGAGGGGCCAAGGGCCTGCGCTGGACTCTGGAGGGGGCCGTGGTGTCACTGCCTGTCAGAGGGCCCACAAGGCCAAGGGGACAAAGATGGCAGAGCCGTCAGGACTGCTCTCACTCTGCAGACAAAAGGAGACCAGCCAGGGGAAGGGAGAGGGGCCTGGCATGGCCTGGCCACAACCGAGAGAGGCTGGTGCCACCTTCACCTACACGGGGAGTCCTGGATGCAAAGGGGGTGCGCTGAGCTCAGGGAGGACGGAGACCTGCGCCGGGCTGGGGTGAGGCCCGGGTGCAGCGGTCGCATGCGCCCCACGCGCTGAGGCCTGGGCTTACCCTCGTAGCCGGAGTGCACCTTCTCCGCCAGCAGCAGGCAACACAGCTGGCTCTCGGCCCCCAGCGGCTCCTGCACCTTGACCAGGTAGGGTGTCATGCGGAACGGCTGGTAGCAGACCTCATTCTCGTGGTTCTTCCCGACACTGTGCGGTAGGAGGGAACAGAGGGCCGGTCCTCGCCTGCTGCTCAGCCTGCTCAGCTGTCCAAGGACAGCTCCCTGGGAGACCCAGGCACACTGGAGGCAGCAGGCACCTGGACCTGGGCCCTGTGATTTGGACCCAGCACACAGAAGGCTCAGAGTCCACACATGGCCTGCAGGAGATCTCTTGAATGACCTGCATTTAGACCAGGGAACCTGCTCCTGCTGTGGGGTCTCCAGCCCAGGAACTGGCCCAGGGTCATTCCCAATACCACCCTGGAGACCCAACCAGTCACCATGTTTTGCACCAAGAGCCTACTGGGAAAACTGGGGCTCTCGCCAGGGAAACACACATGCAGATCATAGGCTGCACGTGCCTCGGGCCGTGGGGTGCACCCTCCCCGGGCATCGTGGGCAGCACACGTTTCTGTGGGCGACACTGGGAGGAGCAGGCAACCTGCCCAGTCAGCCACACTGTGCATCTGCGCACGTCTGAGACCTACTCCTGAAGTGAGTCTCCACAGTCACCGCAGGGCTGCGCCTGCTGGGTCTGCACAGGGATGGGGCAGTGGGGACTCAGGATGCAGAGCCAGCACCATGCTCTCGGGAGCTGGACTCACCTCACACGGCAGAAGAAAGACTTCTCCTCCATGCATTCCTGAGCGAAGGAATCTGGAAGAAATGGCCCGAGTCACCCACCCATTGGGATGGCTGCGCCCAGACACTGCACTCCATTTCTCCAGATGGACGAGAAGCAGGCTGGACAGTGGTGGGGACGCTTGTTTACCAGGCACCTGGAGTCCTCCGGATTAGGAAGCTTACACCGTTACTGCTTATGTTAAATGTGCCTCAAAGCATGCCGTGTACTGGAGTATGCAGGGGAAATGCTATAGCCAGGAGCTCAGCATCTTGGACATGGTACATGAGGCTGCTGCAAACACCACTAATGCTCCCCTCTGCAGCACACCGGCCACGTGCACAATATTCAGAGGAAGCCTGAGCTCCTCAAGCTGCCTATTCTGGGGATATTCAGTTATGAAAGAAACAACTCCGGGCATCTGAGTTTGTGTCAGTACTTTGAAAAATATTAACTTACTTTAAAATTTAAAATGTCTAGTAACAACCTGAGTGCGATCGCTTGGGCGACCTCATCGGTGCTGAAGGAACGGACGTTCCCACGAGAGTTTGAAGACATTTTTAAAAAAGGAATCTTAGACACTGATCATTCACATAAGGCATCCTCTATTCGAAAAAAAACCAAGAAAAAAGTAGACAATTATGAGGACCCAGCCTGGACCCAGGCCTCTGAGAATTCGCCAGGCTCCTTTTATTCAGACCATGATCGCTGGGAGTCAGCATGGGTGGAGGTTAGGGGTGGTGTCGGCCCTCACAAGGTAAATGCACAGACAGAGCGACGTCCTTCCCAGGCCACAGCCTGACCATCCCCGTGTCCTCCCACTCACTCTGCACACTCAGTCCTTTTTTTGAGACAGGGTTGCACTAAGTTTCCCAGGAGGAACCTGAACTGGTGATTCTCCTGTCGCAGCCTCCTTCAGTGCTAGGATTATGGCCATGCATCGCCATGCTTGGCAAGACTGTGACTTATAAAGAATCCAGGTCTATTTTGGCTCCCAGGTCTCAGGCTGCAAAGTCCAAGGGCACAGAGCCAGGGCCTGGCGAGGGCTTTTGCACTACGTTAACTCATGGAGGGACGGGGCAAGAGGCACACTCCGGAGACAGACAGGACGGGTCCCGCTTTAAGACAAGCAGCTCCGGAGGTGACTCATCCAGGCCCAACAGCGCTCTCACACCTGTCAGAAAGGCAGTGATGGCTCCTGATGACTCGGCCACCTCTTAAAGGCCACTCCCCCACTGCATTTCAGCTCAAGGCCGGGAGTGGGGGGACAGGCTGTAGTCAAGCTGCCCCGCCCATCTTGTCCACCCAAACCCAAGTCCTCACATGCCAAATGCACCCGCTCCATCCCACACTCCCAAGTCTGAACTTGCTCCAGCAGCAACTCAAAATCCCAAAGCCCACCTGTGAGCTGATGAGGTCAAATCACTCTCTACCCCCAAATACAGCAGCGGGTGGCCTGGGGGGCACACCCACTCTGAGCAGAGGGCTGGGGACAGGCCCAGACATGCATGAAATCGAGAGCACATTTGCCATGCCTCAGGCTGCAGGGTCCTGCTGCCCTCTGTGTGCCACCTTCTGGACGCTGATGCCGGCTGGGTCCCCCGTTCAGGCTGCCCTACCTCCAAGGTTTTGCTGGCTCTGTCCACACTCGGGGCTCAGAGGCTGGGGCTGCACAGGATGGCTTCCCAGGCAACACCGATGGTGGCCTCACTGTGACACCTCCCTCAGGCACTGTCTGAGTGGGAACTAGCAGCTCTGCCCCAAGGCAGGGTCTGCCTGGGCCTGAGGGATCCCGCGACAACTTCTGAAGTCTCAGTGCAGGAAGCCATGCCTCCTGCAAATGTAGCACCAGGTGGACTCTGCCCAGGCATGGGGCTCCGATTCCAGAGCTGTGGCCAGAGAGCTGGGGTGCGGACAGGGCGTGAGGTGGCTCCAAGTGGTGAGCTGCTTCTGCCCTGAGCCTGTGATGCCCAAGCAGCCTTCACAGGCTTTCGGAAGCCTCCTCGCCACTGTGTGTGGACGGCACCTGCTCTCTCCCAGCCACTTAGCCACTCTAGTGAATGGCTGCTGGCCATGCCCACTGTTCTTTTTTGTTTTGTTTTGTTTGTTTGTTTTGGTACTGGGGATCAAACTTGGGTCCTTGTGCTTGCAGGGCAGGCGGTGAAACCACTGAGCTAAATCCCCGGCCCACGCCCTCTGATCTACCCTGCAGGGTCAGGCCGAGGTCTTCTGCTCTGCTTCCCTTTGAAAGGTAACTTTTCTCTTCCCATCCTCGCCTATCTCACTGCATTCAACTAAGCACAGTGCCTGAGCATTTCTTCTACCAGAATCCTAGTTCCTCACTTGAGCTCCACCTTTCACCAGCCCCAGGCATGAACAAGGTTCTGCCAAGGTTCCAGCTACTTTACCACAACAATGGCTTTATTCCAGTGTAGACCAGCTTGAAACCGCACTGAGCAGGCTATAGACATTAGTGACTAAGATCAGGAGTCACTGCAAGGCCTAAGTGTGAGTTGCTAACTGACCTTTCGGCTGGTGTACAGAGACAGACTTCCCTATGCCAACGGTCACAACTGAGGGCTCAGTGATCAATGAGGCTGTGATGTCTCTGTAGCAAGGAAACCCTGCAGCTGAGGAGCTATGACCCTGTGCAGCCATTCTCCAAGATCCAATGTTATCTAAGATCATGGGGGGGGCTCGTTAGCTATGACCTGCAGATAGCACGGGTGCCTTATTACCCGTGAGCCGTCCGTCACCGGAACACACAGTTCCTCCCTTCCCTTCCACAGCCTGGCTCATTGCGCATCAGGTCTGCTGTCCCCTGCATCCGCCCTCACGTCCCTGCTGTGCTGTACGGCCGTAAACCCTGACTGACCCTGAGCTCATCTCAGCCGGGAGAGCTAAGGTCAGGTGGTCTTTCGCCAGGAGAGAGCTGAGACCAATTCCCGCCCCCCAGTAATAAACTATCGTTCACTCTTTATTCTTTATCTCTTGTTCATTGTATCTTATTCCTTGATCCCCTGCTGGCCCTCATCAGGCGACTGGGGCCCCTGCCCCCCCACCGCGGCTAGTCAGGCTATCAACCTGGCCGTGGCACCCCCGTTCTCTGGAGATGCTCCTCCTTCGGTACCCACATTTCCATCGATGCTCCGGGAGGAGCTCCCAGCTCCCCCATCTTCCTGTCCTCTCCCAAGCCCATGGCAGAGCCCCCCAGTCTCAGGCTTTTCCAGAGGTCACCTTGGAACCAATCCAGCCAGCACTGCTTCCGCACGGTTAGGAGCTGCTATACCAATGCCCGCCTCTCGGTACTGAGTCTCTTCCTGTTTTAGGCTTGTTCAGTGCATGGTTCTGGAGGCTGGGAGGTCCACGGGCACAACGGGAGGGCCATGTGCTGGTCCCACCAAGGCAGGAAGAGACAATGCAGGGTCAGCCTCGCTTTGCGGTGACCCACTCCTCGGTACCGATCCAGTGTGGGAGAGTGAGCTGGGCTCATGAGAAAGGCTCCAACCCCTCTTCACGGCCCTACGTCAGTAGAGCCACAAGGGCCAGGTCAACATGAGTTTCGGAAGGGGTCAAGCTGTGTATAAACCGCAGTAGGTGGCACAGCAGAGAGCTGGGTCTGTCGGCAGCAGGCAGGGGAGGCTGGAGGCAGCCACGTCCAAAGCTGGCTCCAGGGATGGGAGGACACCGGCCCAGCTGCGACGGGGAAGGGAGGCCTGGACACGAGATGCACGGGACAGTGGACACTGTCCAGGCCAGGCCATGGGAAGGCGCCACCCAGCGCACAGACAGGCTGGGGTCTGCAGTGCCTGGAAAGTGGGTGGTTTGCACCCACAGCCTGGCCTCCAGCAGCTGCCACCCCCCCAGGCGATGAGCCCCTCGGAAGTCACTGTGGAACGTCCCGTGCGTGCCCCTTTCACTGCTGAGGCCAAAAGGCAGCAGGTACCTCGGAGACAGCCGTTTCCCACACTCCGCGTGTCCAGGGTGCCAATTCCTCACCAAGTGCTGAACACTTTTTGAAATCTTACCTCTGAAATCTACAAAGAGGCTCTTTTGTTTTCTCTAAATTTACTCTGAGGAGACGAACAGCCATTTACCTTTCACCTGTGGCAGCAGGGCTGGCCTCTGACAGAGGTGAGTGGGAACCAGCCCCCGGTCCACCCCGGAAGTCCCTCCCCGCCCGTCCTCAGAGCACGAGGCTCACACGGGACTCGGGCTCACCTATGCCACCGCACACGCCCCAGGCCGGAAGCTTGTAGGGGGTGGTGAAGCTGTGGAACACGCTGACGTCGTGGGGCGCCAGGAACTCCACGAACTTGGCATCACTAAGGGCGTCTCGCTTACAGTGAAAGATGGATGCCACTTGGCTAGAGATGTAGAGGATCTTCCCCGTGGCCAGGGACACAGCCGCAGCAAACATGTCCTGGGGAGGAAGAGAGGGGCTTGGGTGCCATGCAGTGGAGGGCAGGTCAGACCGGGAGGAGAAGGCCACAGGGGGCCAGGGCTCTCTGTGCCCCAGCCTCAGCCCTGACCTGCACAACTTCTCCCCCTGATCCAGATGTCGGGGTTCACCGTGATGGCATCTGAAGACCTGTGGTCTCTGGGGGCCTAGGGCTGGAGGGCAGCCCTCCACTCTCCTCGCCTGGCCTGTCTCACAGCCTCTACCAGCCCTGCTCTATTCAGGGACCCGGGGCTGGCTCTGGGCCCAGGGCCAGGCGGCCCTTGGTTACACTGGAGCAAGGACATGGGGAAGGCCGGGACCCACAACTCCAGCACGTGCTGGGCTGTCCTCCTGCCTGGGAACCTGGACTTCCCATCCCCAACTTCACTCAGAACACGTGGGCTTTGCAGTCTCAGTCCCACCATGGCCACGAGGCCTGGACAAGGGGATGCCCACCAAGTCTGCTTCCTCACCCGAAGGAAGTGGACAGGCCCATCGGGGGTGAGGAAGGCCCTGTCGCAGAGAGGCAGAAGTGCGGAGCCTGAGCGCCTTCCCGATAACAGCCCCGCCTCCTTTCCCAGGAGCAGCGCATCGCTTCCAACCCCTGGCCCTGCAGTGCAGCGCCCCACGCTCGCCATGGAGAGCTCGCCCCCCGATACCCAGCCCCCGGGCTCACCGCATTCTTCCCCATGTACTCGGAGGTGACGGCCTCCACCTGCGCCACGGTGTAGGAGGGCACGTCCAGGCCGCAGGGCTGGCTCTCGCTGGACATCAGCAGCTGGTAGTACTCCTCGTTAGCTGCAGGAGAACCACGTGAGGCTCAGCGGGCGAGGCCGGGGGTGGCGGCACAGCCTGTTAGGGCTCCAATCTGTGTGGTCCCCAAAGCCTCGTGCGCTCGTGGGCGGGCCTTGGACAGTGATTGGATCCTGGGGCTCATAGCTGACTCACGGTCAGGGTGCAGCCGCTGGGAAGCAGCGTCACTGGGGGCGTGGCCCGGAAGGGTGCATCTGGCCCCTGGCCCCTACCTCACTCAGTTTCCTGTCTGCCAGGCCCCGCTGCCATGCCGCCCTGCCAGCCCTATGGATTGAAATGGGAGCCAGAATAAACCCGTCCTCCTCTAAGCTGTGCCTCAGCAGCGAGGAGAGAGACTAAGATGCTGTCCCTGACTCCTGGAAATGGGGCTCCATTTTTCTCAACCGAACGAGGCAGATGTGGGTGGTGTCTTCCAGCACACAGTTGGCACCCAGAACAGGCTGCAGGTACACTAATGAGCAGACGTCCGGGTCCCTTCCCTGAAACTTCCGGCCTTGGTAAATGCTCTACTGAGGTAACATGGGCATAGCATTCTTTCTCCAGAAGGACCTGAAGCCACAGTGTAACACTAATTCAGTGTCCATGTGGTGGTGGGGGGGGAGCAGGCTCCTCACCCGAACCCTAGGTGACCCCATCAGACACCTCCAGGCAGAACCCACTGCCTCAACAGTGAGCAGGCCCAGACCCAACATCTGAAGGAAAGTGCTGGAAACAGGCTCTGAGCTCCTGTGCTCTGGGGCAGGGCTCTGGGGTGACCAGGCGGCCCCTACTCTGACAGGAGCACAGGAGCTGGCTCTCGTCCCACAGCCCCCAGGCCCTTAGAAGGGAGGAACCAGGGCTGTGGGCTCGAGTTCCCGGGATCGCTGAGTGGTAGAGGGAGCGGAGCTTCCTGTGGTGTGGCAGCGAGGCCTCTGGACCCTCGGCTGGGTCTCATTGGAGTGCGACCTCTCCACGTGGGTACAAGTGCCAGTCTGGGAAAGCTCACGCAGCATCCGGATTTGGCAGAAAGCCTAAGTTTCCACGGTGCTGCAGACACCAAGAATTTACACCCTGACCAACCAAGTTACTTGTGACTGGAGCTGCCAGCTGGTCAGGCAGACTCCCTCCAGCTGTCCTCGGGCACATGGCCCCAGAGCTGGGCGCCCCACAGCAGGGTCGGGCCCCCTGGACACCAGGTTCCCATGCCGCACCCCAGGCCTGACCAGCTCTGACCAGCAGCCAGGCCTATTTCCAAAAATGAATCTCACAAAATGGACAGTGCGGGGGACGCGCCTCCAGGGACTTTGGGCAGAAGAGGACACCCCAGGTGGTGAGCACAGCCAGCACAAGACAAAGCGATACTGGCTCCCAGACGCAGAGACTCCAGCGACCTGCTGGCTGGCCAGGAAAAGCTGAGGGCTCCCCACTACCCCAATTAGCATGAGGAGCCCTGCCTCCCTGGGGTCAGGCCTCACCTTGCAGGAGGTGCCACCCTCCACTCTTCCTGTTGTGATGAGCAGGGCCCGTCAGCCCTCAGCGCACTGTGAGGGCTAAGGACATACCTGCGAGCCTAAGGACACCCAGTGCCGGGGAGCGGGGACGCACTGCTGGAACAGGAGAGGAAGCCAAACACTCTCCAGCTCACAACCCTGTCGCCAGCAATGGCCGACGTCTCCTCGGGCCATCTGAGTGGCACCGAGAGCTGAGCGCTTCTAGGAGGACCAAGCCAGGGCTCGGCCTGAACCCGGCACAGGCTGCTGGGTCCCTGGCTCAGGGCCCACTGAGCAGTGCCAGCTGCTTCTGTGGCCCAGAGCTCACCGTGTGCACTGGAGACAGCAGTGCCGAGCCCTGGCGGTGGGAGGCCAAGCGCAGGAGGAGGACTGGGTCCCCCTGAGGTCTGGGGGCCAACGGGTTTACTGAACAGTGGGGACTTGCAGTGTCTGTTCACAGACTCCTGCGCTGCATTCTGCAGCCTCTCATGAGCCTGCTTCTCACTCCACACTGGCCTTTCCTATTCTGCCTCCTGATACAAAGTCCAGATACTCACACATGGGAGCAGGACCTGCACTCCAGAAGCTGCACCACTACACATCTGATGGCTGACATTGCTCTCCCTGCCTCCTCCTTTCCTGGCTGAAATAGCCACAGGGCAGAAATTCACACAATTGTAGGCAAACAAGAAATGAACCACTAGAGTTTATGAATCCAAGAGGCTGAGATCTGGCAATACCCTGCTTCTTGCTTCCTTCACCTCACGCAGTAAAGGTGGGCAGCTTAATGTCAATGCTTCCATTCTACTCTGCCCGCTGCACCTGACGGGCCGTGAGTGACGGTCTCCCAGGACTTGGGCCCCACACTGACTGTCCTGCCAGAGCCCAGAAGATGCCATGCGCATTGAGGACCTGACAGCCCAGAGCAGAACAGGCACGTGGAGTAAACACACGGGTGATCAATAGATGCAGCGAAGGTCTCAGTTTAAAAAAGAATTCTCAATACAGTGAAGGACCACACTGCCAGGAGGAGCGAGGTGAGTGTGCTCAAAGTGCGGCAGTGTCCACAGAGGGGATTCGCCACAACGTGCTTCTTACTGTAGCACGTTTTTAAACACTCACTGTACGTTGTGACCACTCCTCCTTAATCCACTGTTTGTGGCAATTCCTGTCAAATAAAAACATGACCCTGCGTCCTCGTGCACCTTATTCAGCAGATCTAGCACCGTGCAACTTCTGGCTCTTTCCAAAGTCAAAATGACCACGGAAAGGAAATGTTTTGAATGGATTTAGACATCAAGGCAGCCACAATAGTGCAACTAAAAACACTCACAAAAGAGGGCTCCAGAGCTGCTTCAGAAAGTGCCAAGAGCAATGGGATCAGTGTGTTTGAAGTGAGGGGAGGATTCTGAGGGGGATGAAAGGCAATTGTCTTTTACTGTGAAAAGTTTTTAAATATTTAAAAATTTACTGTAAATTTTCTCACACCTCATAGATTCTTTTAGCCTCTGGCTTTCTACCTGTCGTTTTTCCCCTAAAAGTCCAGTGCAAATGGAAAACCTCAAGTGAACTGAGGTTTCCAGGCAACTGCAGCTTCATTAGGCTTTTGCCACGTCCAGCAACGAGCTTCAGAGAGCAGACATGGCCTGTGCTCTGGTGCTGGGTTGGGACTTACTCCCACGGGTGTGAAGGGCGGTGTGAGGAGTGCGTACCTTTCACCTGCTTCACGCTGTGCAGGGCGTACTTCAGGGTGGCCAGCGTGCTGGCCTTGCCCTTGGGCTTCTTGTCCGCAGGGAGGTGGACCTTCAGCTCCCTCAGAGTTTTTATCAGCTCTTTGTGGGTGTCTGCTTTAGCAGATTGCTCGCTGCTGCCAAAGTCAAGACAGAGGCAATCAGAAGTGAACTTCCTGGGTGTGATTTCTGGAGAAACTTGGTCGGGGTGGCTTTTGAGGGGCTCCTCAAAGTGTTCCGTGGCATCCCTGCCTCACCCGCTGGGGCACAGCGGCACCCTTGCAGTTACGGTAGCCGGACTGTCTGGGACATTGCCAGGAGACAGCTCCTCGGAAAGAAGCCCTGTGCTGGCCAAGTGCTCGGTGGAAGTCCCTGCACGGCCACTCTCCCCTGGTCAGGGCTGGCTCTCGCCCAGGCAGGGTTGCCTGTCACTGAGCTGTGCCCTCCTTCCCTGTCCCTGTGAGAAAAGGACTGCACGGTGGGGACGGGCCACACAGTGAACCAGGAGTGCAGAGGAGAGGAAAGGGGACTTCTGAGAAGGACACAGAGAGGGGAGGACAGCAGGACAGCGGGTGCATGCTGATGGAGGCCGGTCCGCTGTCAGGGTGTAGGGACAGTGATGGAAACCGTGTCCCCGAGGGCTTGGTGGCAATGCGCCTGTGCCCAGGGTTGAGTGAATTTTGTTCCAGAGGTGATAGGACAAGGATTGTTTGTTACAAATACCCAAAAAGGGAAGGATGCTCCTGAGGAGCACACCCAGGACTCAGTAGAGCAGGGAGGAGCTCCGGGGGCTCTGAGAATCCATGGGGACAGTGGGCATCCGGATGGCTGTGCAGACCGCGGGCCTGAGTGGGCCTTGGACAAGGTCGCACCGGTGCCCAGACTGGGCCTCCCTACTGCCCTTGCCCTGTCAAGGCGTGGGGCGGGAGCCCAGCGGGTCTCACCTGCAGCCGCTCGTAGAGAGGTTGGGCTCAGGCTCAGTCATCATCAGGCTAAAGGCACTGGGAGAGGGAATAAGAGGAGAAACAGAACTCAGACAACTGTGGCTCCATCTACCGCCCACACCCCGCCAGCGAAACAGCCCAGGTCACCTGCACCGTGGCAAGAGGACTTTGGGGAACTATGAGGCAGGCTGCGACTGCAGTGCAGCGGTAAAGTGCTTGCCTTTCATGCATGAGGCCTAGGGTGTGATCCCAGCACTGGAGGAAATACTAAGATAAACGTAAAGCGGCCGGCCGTCAGGAGAGCTGGGTGCCGGGACTCAGAAACACGAGGCCAAAGTGGCCAGGCGTGTGCTCTAACTGCCGCCAGTGTGAGCAGCTGTGGCCGGGCAGCGTCCGCTGGCCAACGACACGCAGCACACAGTGGTGCCCTGAAGAGCAAGGAAGGGTCCTTGCAAGCGTTAGTTCCTCTGCGTAATAAGACTTTCAGAAATCTTGGGAAACTCGGCGACCCCGATTTAAAGGTGCAGAGGCGATTGTGACAAGTGACCCAAGGTGCCACAGCGCCGCTGCTGCCCCACCTCTGGGGGTCGGGTGGCTCCACCAGCATCCCCAGCTCCTTCCCGTGGTCGTCGCAGTCACTGCCCTGCGAGTCCTGCCCCGTGGAGCAGCTCTCGGGGGCTTCATTTCCACTTGAGCCGCTGCCCATGTCCACGTCCTCCTGCAGAGAGGCCAGGCCTGGCCCGGGCTCCATGGGCTCCCTGGTGGGGTTGCTGCGGCTGGGGGGAAACTCCGCGTATCCGCTCGTGCTGGAGAAGCTGCAGGAGGAGAGACGTCATCAAGCAGTGGAAAGAGCACCAGGATGACCGCTGGGCGCATTTTACTGATGAAAGCAGTGCCACCAAGCCCTCGTCCCCATCTCTCGAAGGCAGCTCTTGGCCCCGGCACAGAGCTGCTGATAGGTGAGCACTGCCGACAGTCACCACCCAGCTCTCGTGAGCTGTGTGCAGAATGCAGTCTCACTGGACAGGAGGCAAGGCCTGGGAACCTGCATTTTACAATCTGCCTTTGCATGAACCATCAAGTCCAGCAACCTTGGCTGCCACAGCACCAAAGTTACAGGAGATACCGGGGGTGGGGGACAAGGCAGCGGGGAAGAGGGCTCCACCGCAGCGGGCTCCGGCCCAGGACCCAGGCACGTGCTGGTGGGGACAGAGCCTTCAGTTTCCTGATGGTCAGGAGCCAGTGTGCACTCGTGTGCATGGGGACCAGTCAGAGCTGCGCCACACAGAGCTGACCCGCGGTGCCTTGCAGGGGGCAGGGAGACGGACAGCACCAAGGCTGCCTCATCCCGGAGACCACCGGGGTGAGCAGGGACGGGGAGGTCGGTCTGATGAGCAGGCAGCAGCCACAAGTCTGGGGGTGTCGCTGGGCGGAGGAGGGAGGCCCCAGGGTAGTGTTGCCCACAGGAAGCTGGCAGGAAGCAGACACCCGCTCAGGCCAGGCACTGAGAAGCCCTGAGGAAGGCACTGCCAGCAGGACGGCTCAGGCACAGGAAGCAACCAGAGCTGTGACGTGCTGGGGGCTGAGGAGAAGCTGTTAGCGCGCTGGCCCAGAGACATCACCTGCAGCCTGACCCTCCAATCTGCCCAGCCCCAGGGGAAGCCCGGGCAGAACAAACTTGCTGACTCTGGCTTGGCAGCCAGGTAGCAGCAGTGCCCTCACCAACAGGGGTCCCCAGGAGGCTTGATGTCCCCCACAGCTTCCTGTGTTCAGGGGAACAGACCAGAGGCCAGTGGAGAACTGGCCCACAGCGTCCAGCCATCCTAGGACCACTGAACCTACTGTGTGCAGGTAACAATGCTGTGGATGAGCAGAAGGGATGAGGACTCGCCCAGGGCCACACACAGCAGGTGTCTTAGTTACTTTTCCTGTTGCTGAGACAAAATACTCAACACCCAAAGTTAAGGGAGGAAAGGTTTATTAGACTCATGGTTTGCAGAGGTTTGTGTCCATAGTTGGCAGGCTCCAATGCAGGGTGGCATGGCAGAGGGGAAGTAGTTCATGGTGGGCAGAAGGCAGCAAAGCAAGCAAAGCAGTTTCTTCCTGCCCCTTTTATATTCTAGGCTACTGGGATTAGGGCAGTGCCAAACCAGTCAGTGGACTGATTTAACAATCACACACCCTTAATCCCAGCATCACACACTCTAGATCCAGCCACCTCTTCAAAAGCCCCACCTGTGACCACGTAAAGCTTTGGGTGGACATCTAGACATAAGCCATAACACTGCAGGTGACAGCGTGGACTCCAGACTGCCCTGACTCTGAAGAGGGTCCCCCTCTAGGTGCCCAGGGGCACACGGAGGGGCTTCCTGCTGCTGCCTGAGCTCAGAGGCCTCTGGGCTGCCTTTTGCAGCAGTGCAGCATGGCATTGCCTTCCGTGCGGCACTGCTCAGCCCTTCCCAGGGAGGAATGGGGAGAACGGGCTTGTGGATTCCTGCCCACCCTCCCTCAGTGCCCACTCAAATGACCAAGGATTTCAAAGCTGCCGGGGAAGGGGCGGGCTTTAAGTGACCCAGGAAATCCCAGAGAGTCCTGGTCGTCTGTCACAAAGTGAAGGCGCTGCCAGCCAGCTATAGCAGGGCCAGGAGGAGGGCCAGGGCCAGGTCGGAGCCCAGAAAGCCCTCAGTGCTGCAGCTACCCTGCCAGCCCTGCCACTGTGGGGCAGATGGGGAGCGTGACCACCGGGAAGACACCATCGCAGAAGCTGCGGGCAGGATGGACGCTTGGGAGAGAAGGCTGGGAAGGCAAGTTCTCCAGACATGCTTCCCAAAGCAGCCTGAGAGTTCTCCAGGCCACACCGAGGAAGGGGCCAGAGCACCCACAATACTGTGGTGCCCACACAGCCACCTGACAACGACCCAGGACCCCGCACAGCAGGGCCCCACACAATCGTTCCCGGGTGGCTCCCGAGGGAACACGAGCGCAAGGCAGCACCTGCTCCCCTCAAGAACAGAAACACAATGAGAGAGGCATCGATGGACGACACACCCCACAGGCTGGGACGGAAGTGCCATGTGGAACTGGACAGCGCAGGATGAAGGGCAAGGGTGAGGAGTCAAGGACAGAAGCAGTGACCCGGTTACGGATGAGGAAGGGAGAGGGTGTGGACAGCTCGGCTGGCCTGCAGGGTCGGCTCTGAGGACGCACAGAAGCTGGGAGGAGGAGGAGGACACACGCACAGGAGCCGTTGGGCAGGGAGGCACACTTCTGGGAGGGGCCGATCCCTGGCGACACCACGGCTTCCACCCACTCGGGGAGGTCAGACGGCTGCCTGTGCAGGAGCCACCAGGCCAGACGCCTCTCCTGTGCCTTCCGTCTCCAGAGGCGTGCGTCCGCACGGCCCTGGAGGATGGGCTGTTTGAGGGGAGCCCGACCAAGGGCACTGGCTTGTGGGGTGAGGACAGCAGGCGTTCATCTGCATCCCGACTCTCGGCAACGCTAGAAGGCCAGTGCCGCTGGGATGAAAGCTAGAGGCAAAGCAACCCAGTCTCGTCCTCTGCCTCTTCAGCATTTTGGGGGAGTTCTCACGGTTCTGGCAGAAGGGGAGGGGCTGCGCCTTGGGAAGAGGGAGGCTAAGCAGACTCCAGAAGGCCCCTCCCGCGGAGGTGCCAGCGAGGAATGATGTGGAAAGAGGTCGGACAGTGCCAGGAAACGCCAGGAAGCAGTTTTCCGGCTGCCAAGTCGTCGCCGGTCAGCAGGAGAGCAGAGATCAGAGCCCGAGGGGGCTCCTGGGGTGACTCTCCACTCCCGGAAAGGCGATGTGTGGGTGCAGTGTGTGTGATGACACCAGGAGCCCACCCAGGGCCATCCACACAGCCGCCCCGACCAGGCGCGGCCTCGGCTCCAGCACGGGCTCCTGGCTCACCAGGCTGCTGTGGTCAACACCGCAGGAAGAGGGTCCTGGTGCCACTGGGTGAGCATGGGCTCTCGTCTTCGCGAGGCGCTTGGCCCTGCAAACCCAGGTCCCACTCCCGGCGCCTCTGGCTCTGCCCACCCTCGGCCCAGCCCGACCGTGGCCTCGAGGACTTAGCACTTGTGGCTCCCACGCGCCCACAGCAGAGACTCCCCGCTCATCACATCGCCTCCCCTCTTGGCTCCTTCTCAGCCTGCTCTGCTGATCCTCCCGGCATCCATCAGTCCCTCCCCGCCAACCCCCAGAGCATGGCACCCACAAGGAGAGCAGGAAGCCCAGGACATCTGCAGAGGACTACTGCATGCCTATCAAAAAGAGAACAGCCAGAGGAAGATGGGGAGACAGGATGTAAGGAACAACTCAACAAGAGGCGGCACTCGTGCAGAGCACGTGCGGGGACCTGGCCAGGAGGGAACATTAAACAGCAGGACAAAAGCACACAGGTTCTATGAGAAGTGAATGGTTAAAACATGGGGCCAAAGCACGCAAAAAACAAAACTGGGCAGAAAGCACATAGGCTGCCGGGTGTGGCGGCGCATGCCTGTAATCCCAGCACTCAGGAGGCTGAGGCAGGAGGATCGCCAACAGTTGGAGACCAGCCTGGCCACATTGTGAGTGACTTCAAGGCCAACCTGGACTACATGGCAAGACCCCATCTCAAAAAACTAAAAACAAAACAAACAAAAGCACATAGGATCCACAAGGAGTGACTGCTTGACCTACAGGGCAAAAGCACAGGCCGTGTGAGAATCCAGCGCAGGTTCTGGCCATGTCCTTCCCTTCCCTCAAGAAGAACCACCCCGCCTGGAGACAGCTCTAGGCCCAAACTACTTCTCTCCTGCTTTTTTCTTTACACCACTACTCTAAATAACAACCGGGGCGCTCCTGGCTTGGGGGCCTTTCTTCTCCCATCGTCTCCCTGATGGCTGCGCGCTCTCTGTGGAGAAGCAGCCACTTTGGGCCTCTCGGTAGAGGAACTAAGTCTCGTCTCCGGGCAATCTGTTCACCCTCCATGCTGCCTGCAGTCACATACTGCTTCCTGCTGCCCGCCAGTCTGACTGCGTGGCATCGAGGGGTCCACACGGCAGACCACAGTGTGAGTTTCCTTGCCCACACCCAGTTCACCTTCCAGGGCACTAGGATACCGAACAGGGAGCCCGAATCCCTAGGCCAGGACTGGGTGCCTTGGAGAAAGCGCCAGGCAGTGGCAGGCCGGGGGTGCAGTTTCAGGGGACAGCCCTGCGTGCAGGTGGCCCTGACACAGAGCCCTCGGTGCTGAGCCCAGGCCTCAGCTGCCAGCTCCAGCCGAGGCCCTGGAGGCTCAGGGTCATCCTGCCACACCCCAGGCGGCCTCACCACCCTGCTGCTGCCAACACTGGGCTAGCCTGGGGGTCAGGAGTGAATGTGGACTTCAGGGGATGGGGGCAGAAGGAGCTGGCTGAAGATTCCCTCCAGCCCTCCGGGGATGCGGTTCTGTTCTCTCCTTGCCTCCTCTTTGGACGCCTTGCTGATGAGGTGTCTGTGACAAGGGACAGCATCCAGGAGCGTGTCCTCTCCTGTACCCCAAGCTGTCCTTCCTCACTTCCCTGTCCTTCCCCCTGGCCACCCTGCGGCTGCCCCTTCAGGAAAGCACTGACACTTCCGGTTTGCACCACATTCAAGACCCCAACACCACCGGCCAGAGAGGGCAGGGGTGACGTTCTGGGCAGGGGGGAGCAAGGGCAAAGGTCCTGGGGCAGGCGAGTGGCTGGCCTGTTTGAGAAGACGGAGGAGGCCAGAGCAGAGCAGAGGGGGACAGGATGGCAGGCATCAGAGCCAGACTGCTGCTTCCTCCAGGTCCTCCAGGTGAGATGTGGGACATGGTGTATGCCAGGGGCTGACCACACTGAATGGGACTGCAGGGTGATGAGGAGCAAGGGTCCTCTGGGGCCTGGCACTCCTGAGGCCGTCCGGGGTGCTGAGGGCCGCTGAGCCCCAACACCCTGGACGCCACGGTCCCGTCCCCACGCCCCTACCCCAGACGAGCAGCCTGGCTTTTGTGCTGTGGCTCAGTTACCATGGCGACGGGAGGCCTCAGCAGAGTGGTCAAGTGGACAGGCCCCGGAGGGCCGGGGTTTCAGTGGGGCTGCGCCACTTCTGGCTGTGTGACCCTGCCTTGCTTCCTCATCTCTGAGGAAGAACTAACAAGAGTTCCTGTCTCGTTTCAGTGGCTGGGAGGATTAAATGACACAAATTGTGTGGAGCATCTGGAAGGTAGCAAATGCCCACCAAGTAGCTTTTGTTATCACCGCTAATCACTACAGGAAAACAGAGGGGGACAGAAGTAACACAGAAGAGAAACTTCAGTGTTGCAAGGCCAGCCCTGGCTCGTATTCAAAGAGCTCAGCCACCCCTGCCGCACTGCGTGGAACTCCGGGGATTCCCGGTTCCCACCCCAAGCGTCCTGCCTGAATGGGATCCACCAGAGCAGATTGTCTCGGGTGGAAGAGAAATCTTTTGTAAAGACGATGGGGCGAGCACGGGAGAAATGTGCAGCGCCAGCCGCGCCAGCTCATGGGAAAGCCCGAGGACCCAGAGGCACACCCTTGGCAGCAACGCTCTCTGGGCGACCTGGGTTTGCCAAGCTGGTGCACCCAGTGCTGGGCAAAGCAGGCTTGGCCTCTGCACTCACGCGGGACGGGGTTCCCCGGAGCCTGATTCGGGGGGGCTGGAGCACCCTGGCTCCACTTGCGGCCCCAGCGCTGGCCCCGCCCCTGGAGAAGGGTCATACTGAGGAACAGGGCTCGGCTCGGCACGGGCGTGGTCACTCGGCCAGACAGGCGGGGAAAGTGCCAGGAACAACGTCAGGATCTGGGGCCGGGAGCAGGGCCAAGAGCCAGAGCTGCTGAGGCTGGCTGCTCCGTCCTGGGGGTGAGCGGTGCGGCCCCTCCTCTTCTGCAGCCATTCATGGTTTCCCTAAGGAACGGCACAGAGAGGATGAAGCAGCCGGGCCTCTGCAGCACACTGGGCTCCGGAGGGCTGCTCACGCCCCTCAGCCTGCTGAGGGGAGACACATGCACCCCATGGCAATCAGACCTCGAAGTTCATGGGGATCCTGTCTGGAGAGGAAGTGCAGGCGCGTGCCCTGGAGGTCACAGCCAAATGGTGGCTGGGCTCCTGCCGGGCCCCTCACTGGCGGGCTTCCCCCTGCTGGCTCACTCAGCCCATTCCCAACCTTACATAACAGCACCAGACAGCCTGTTCCCCGTGTCTGAGCCTGCAGGATCTTACAACCCCAAATAATAGAACATGTTTTTTACTTCCTCCTCCAAGCCAACTCCCTGGGGCCAGCCTGCCTTAATCCAGAGAAAATGTTTGTTCTGGTAAATAAATAGCCACGCTCTCCATGGTGACGGTTGGGTAACGGAGGAAAATGTGACCAGTGCTGTCCTAATATGGAAGGGAAGGAGTCACACAGGGCATTGTCTCAGCCTCGCCAGGCCCCCTACGTGCTTTTCAATCCTTACTCAGGGAGGGAGACCCAGGTTTAAAGCAATGATGCAAAGTGGCTGCTCCCAGGCCATGTCAGATGGACTGCTCTGCAGGAAGCAGGATCCTCCCATCCCTGAGCCGTTCTTACTTTTCCTGGTTACCAGTGTTACAGTGAACGGATCCTGACTCTTTACATCACCCTTCAGAGCCAAGAAGGAGGCGCACCACCCGTTCCACCTGGCTTGCCCACCGAGGGTAACCCCGTGGCCTTGGCCTGTCACTGCTGCGCACTGACTGCTTCTGGTTTGCTCTGGATTTGAGAATACAGCGAGCAGCCTGCAGTGTGAGTGCACAGTGGGCACAGGCGGAAACGAGGCCCAAGTGGCCAGAGGGAAGGGCCGGTTCAGGGGGCAGCCAGCAGGCAGCCCGCCCCGGTCCTCCCTTGGGTCTCAAGGTGGGCAGCTTCCCACAGGGCAGGGCGTATGGCATGTCAGCTGCGGGCTCAGGGGTTTCCAGATTCCCTTAGAATGGAGCACTCCACAGGTACAGCTATGGCTCTCTCCAGCTCCACACCAAGAGGTCCTGCCTGCCACTCAGTGGCCTTCCGAGCTGGAGCCTCGGGGTCTGCATGGAGAGCAGCAGTAAGGGTGAAAGGAACCCTTCCTACTTCCTTCTAAAACAAGCTTCAGCAGGTGAACTATGTTTTTTTTTTTTGGTACCGGGGATCGAACTCGGGTCCTTGTGCTTGCACAGCAGGCGGCGAAACCACTGAGCTAAATCCCGGCCCGAACTATGTGAGCCCAAGGTAGGTCAGTGTCAGAAACCTCTTGTCTCCTGCGTCAGTGCCTGGGAAAGTCATTTGTGAGTGACAGGAGCCCAGAACTCCGGAGCTGAAGGGAGCTCGGAGGCTGCCCAATGTGAGCCCTTCCTTCAGATGAAGAAACCGAGGTCCAGTGTAGAGCTGTCGCCTAGTGGCAGCCAGCTCACCACCACAGACTGACCCTCCTCCCACCCCGGGCTCCAGCCTCCACAAAAGCCAGGGCTGCGCTAGCTCTGTACCAGTGAATCATGCCATGCTGACAGTGACACACGAGTGGAAACACAGCGCCGTCACTGTGCTGCGCAGCACACAGCTGCCGCTTGCGAAGGAGAGAAGTCTCTTGCCTCAAGGTACACGACTTAGGAAAGAGGATTAACCTTTATGCAGAAACTCAGTTTCCAGCAGAGCCTCAGGTATAGTCCTTCTCAGCCAAACCAGCCGAGAGGAACCCCAGGGGAGCAGTGGCGTCTTCCCTTCGAGGCCAAGGAGGCCAGTGGTTCTGCTGTGTCAGGCACAGGAGGTAAAAGACATCACAGAGGGGGTTCTGCCTCGTGCTGGGGTTCCCAACATCGGGGGAGGGCACGATGTCCTAGGGGCCACGCTGACCCTGAAGGGCCTGGGCCTGCTAAGATGCACGCCTGGGTTTGGGTGCCTGTCAAGCCCAGGGGTTGCCTGGGATGGTTTCCAGGGAGCCTCCTGGCTCTGTTGTTCCCTGCTGATGAATCAGCTTCCAAACTGGCTCCTTCTGTGTAGGTTTCAGAAACCCTGGCAACCAGGTTGTCATCCTGGCCCTGCGGAGGGGGCAGGCCACCGCCCACACTCCGGTCCACGTCTGTACTTGGCAGCCAAGCAATGCCACAAACAGTTGATGTGACTGCCCCCCCAAGTGGGCCCCCAACCTGTCCTGGGAGAGGGAGTAAGTTCAAGGTGGTTCAGGGAGGGCAGAGGGGGTGAGCACCGTGGGGTCCCCTGCCCCATGTGTTCCCCTGCCTGGCTTGGGGCAATGACTTTCTTGTTTCTCGGCTCACCCCCTCCAAGAGACCCAGGGAAAGCTCCATCCTTAACCCACCCTTGGCCCTTCATCAGCCCAGACTGGGCTCTCAGGCCTCCGAGCAGGAAGCCAGCCCCCCAGGGCCCCCACGACGCAGGGACAGTTGCACTGACCCTCAGTTCCCTTGGCCTCCCCCGTGCCTGAGGGGGTGGCTTGGAAAAGAAAATCATTCGAACAAAGATAGTCCGGGTGGCAGTCAGCAGCGCTGCGATCTTGGACAAGCTGTCGAGCCGCGCTGGACCTCAGTTTCTCGACCTGCAGTACAGAGCCACTAGACCGACCTTGCTGAGTTGCAGCGCGCCGAGGACACCCCTGGCGTCCTGCACACTCCTGCGGGCCAAGGCCGGGATCGCGCCCCGGAGGGTGACTAGAGGCCCAGCAAGCGCTAGGCTGGCGCCAGACCCCCGCCCGCCTGGCCAGCGGTTACGTAACCGGCCCGGTAGTCTGTGCACTGCCCTGCGCACCCTCCGCGCACTCACCGCCGCCGCGTCTGGCCAGCGCGTCTGTCGGCCCCTCAGTCGGCCCGTCGGTCCGTCTGTCCGGCCCGATCGCCGCCGCCACCCACAGCAGCTGGTTCCCTTGAGCCGCTGCCTGCGCCGCGCCGGTCGCCGCTGTCACATAGTGTAAAACGTGACCGCCTGCCCCAAGTCCGCCTCCCGAGTCAACCATTGGCCGAGGAGCCGCCTCATCTGCATACCAGGGGGGCCGGGTCTGGCAGCGCCGCGTGCCCATTGGTAGCGGCGTCCGTCGCTCTCTTTACATAAGACGCACATGGAACTCCATGTTCATCGCCTCTGTTCCTCAATGAAGCCGCCGCACGCTGGCACCCCTCCTCGTCTTCCCGAGTGGTCCCTTCCACTTCCGGCCTCGCGCCTTCCATTCAACTTGCCGGGCTGCAGCCCCCTCGCGGAGCGCCGAGTGGCGCGTACCACTTCAGGGAGGGGGAGCTGGGCTCCTGCCCCGGAGCACCTGACACCTTGGGTGACCGGCCTGAGGCGCGCCCCCAAGGCCCGGGAAACCCGAGGCGAATGCGCTTCCTTCGCTCAGTCCATTTCATTCATTAACTCGCTCTCTCATTCATTCATCCATCGCCAGGCTCTAGAGCTGCGGGGACAATCGGGGCGACGGGATCTGCAGGAGCTCCGGATGCCCGTGGTTGACACGTCCCAGATTAGCCAGGACAGCTGGCTTTCAAGTAGTCTTTCTTACTTTTGAAACCATGTGTTGCAATTTTTGGTTTAAGAAATAGGGTCATTGTTACTGTGAGGAGGTACAAAAGAAAGAATGATGTCCTTGCCCCCAAGCACATCGTCAAGAAGAGAAGATAGCCTTCTTCTTAAACGCGAGCTTAATAGAGCACTAAATTGGGTCGTGTGGATTTCAGTTTAACCAGAGCCGACCTCAAGGGGTCGGGAGCAATGGCATAGGTGTTTGGGGAAGAAGAGCCTTCCCAAGGTGCCAGGCACGGAGACACACCCACCAGGGTTGCAGGCTCCTGGAGATAGCCCTGGTCCCTGGAGCTGCTTGGCTGAGGCTGCATGTCCCTTCAGTGAGCATCCTTTGTGGGCCTGTGAAGCCCCTAGCCTCCTGCCCAAAGCATCTTGGAGAGCACAGGCCTTCCCCTGGGGCCACCCCTAGGCCTGGGACTCACTTGGAGGTCCCAGGAAACAGTTGGTGGGCTCTGAAAATGCAGGGTCTGATGGGGGAGGCAAGACTGGCCTGGCTTGGAAGGGCTAAAGGAGCAGGAGGCATTGTCCTAGAAGCTGGGCCTGTAGCATCGCCCTCCACTTCCTGAGCTTCCTGGGCTTTCCCAGGAACCAAGATGGCAGGGAAGATAAAGTCATCAGCCTGCAGCTTGAGGGCAAACTGAGCTTCTAACCCCATATCACCCAGCTTCTCAGGGGCGGAAGAGGCAAATAGCAAGCCCATGTGGGCATCCTGATGTGGGTTCCTACCATGGTCAGGGTGGCCCCTCCTTCTGCCCCTCTGACACTGAGTCCCCACCAGCTCCCTAACACACACATTCACACACAATGGTAACGCCAAGCAAATCCAGGCCCATCTGCACCCTGCACATACCCTAAAGCCCTTTGGTTTCTTCATTACACTGACGTCAATGGAGGCGCTATTGTTCTGGAGTCCAGAGTAAACAGACAGCTCATCCCCATCCCACAGATGCTCCTTCAAGCTGTTTTGGTCTTGCTCCATATCCAGCCTGCAACCTAATGCCACATTTCCTCCCCAAATTTAGCCTTTTCTATTTCCACCAGTAAATCTGGTGGAACCATAGAACAATCAATTCTTTTAGCAATTCTCAAATGCTATAGGCATCTAGAACTCTTTGGGATCTACTCTGCTTTGGGTATCTCATAGTTAGGCTCTTCTTTCTTGTTATTGGCAACTTTTCATTCACTCCACAAATATTTGTTGACACCTGGCACTTGCCACTGTGTGTGTTATATGAATCACCTTTCTGTTGCTGGGACAAACTACCTAACATATACAATTTAAAGGAGAAAAGATTTATTTTGGCTCACGGTTTAGAGGTTTCATTGGAAGAAGAAAGCTGCTTTCCGCATGGCAGTTAGGAAGCAGGAAATGTTGGGATAAAGGCAGAGGCGGGACCCCAGAACAAAAATGTACCCTTCCACGGCGTGTCCCCAGTGGCCCACTTCTTCCAGCTAGGCCCAGCCTCCTCACAGCACATCCACGTGCGGACTCATCAGTGAGTTAATCCACTGGTCAGGTCAAGGGCGCGTGATCTAATCATCTTGCCAAAGCCCCACTGCTGCACACATAAGCTTTGGGGGGACTTATTTTGGTGACACTGGAGTTTGAATCCAGGGCCTTTGCACTGAGCTACATCCTCAGCCCTTTTTTATTTTGTATTTTGAGATAGGGTCTTGCTAAGTTGATAAATTGCCCAGGCTGGGCTCGAATTTCTGATCCTCCTGCCTCGGCCTCCCAGAGTGTTGGGATGACAGGTGTGCACCAGGAGCTTGGCTGTGGCCTGGAAGGAGTTAATCCAAACTGTAACACGTGAAAAAATGCATCTTGTTGGATTCTTGTTTGTAACGAGTTTGTGATTCCCAGAAGGAATGCTGAGTGGGGCAGATTTGGAGACAGTTTTGTCTAAGATGGGGTGTAAGTTCCAAAAGAACAGGCCAGACTCAGGCAGAAGCTTCCATCCATCCTTCCATCGGAGAAGATTGTGGAGTGGAGTGGAAGCCCTAGGAGCAGGCCAAATCCATGAATACCATTCTTGCTGAGTCAAGATGGAGAGATGGCCGGAGTGTGGAAGTCAGGCTGGAGTAGGGGGGACCCTTTCCTAGTCATCCCACGCTTGCTGGCTGTCACTTCCAGCCTAGGGCTGTTGGCCTGCTAAGTTGTCCTTGGGACTGGGTGAGGTAAGTGAGCCAGAAGAAACCTAGCCCTTCCGCTGGGGGTGGGGTGAGGTGTGAGGCAGGGTCTTGGCTGCCTGGGACACTGCTGGTGGAAGGAGATGGCCTCTGGCCCATCCTTCAGCCTTCCTCCCAGCCAAGCCAGTCTTGCTGTCCATGCCTGGGCCCTGCCTGGAGGACCTCCTCGCACCTAGGCCTCCAGGCCCTTGTCTGTGCCCTTCCTGGCTCTCTCACTTGCTCATGCACTAAGCTGGGTGTTTCCTGAGCACCTATCAGGCACCAGGCTCTGTAGATCCATGAGGATCTTCCTCTGCTTGTAGGTTGCATAGTTTGTGGTTTGGCCAGCTCGGACCTGAGCTGGAAACAGAAAGGAAGGGAGTTTTCTCTGTAAAAGGAGGTGGACGTGGCTGGCAAAGCCCCCTCTGGGATGGCGGGGACACTGCCAATCTCTCTGGTCCTAGGAACCCTGGAGATGAAGAGATCTGACCCTCACTCCAGCCTCCTTTGTGCCTGGTGCTTGGCACGGGGCAGCTCCCGGGAGGGAGGCCCTCAGCCAGCTCCCAGAGCATGGGCAGATGTGTCCAGGCCCCTGGCAGGGTGAGACAAGGCCTGCCTATCCCTAGTATCAGGAATCCTTGGCCCAGGGGAGGTGTCTCTTCCTAACAGAAGGTGGACTAAGAACCAATGTAAAGATCATGTAATGAACGTGGTAGCTGCCCACTGAGAAGTGGTGCTTGATTTTTAAATACAGATACAGGAATGCTGTCCTTTGAGGGACATGTGTGGGAACTCTGTGTGTGTGTCTGTGTGTGTGCGTGCATGCATGCACATCTTCCCTCAGGAAGTCACAAGATTGAGCCATCAACGATGGGTGTGCAGCCTCGAACTTTCTTCACCTCATGCTGGAAGAGGCTGTGAAGAGCAAATGGCCGGGCTGCATGCAAAGCTCTTGGGTGGAGCGTTGGCGTCCACAGCCCCTCGGCCTCTTGGGAAAGCTTATCTTCAACATCACAGTCGCTGTAACACACACGTCCAGGACCTCCATGCAGTGTCCAGTGGATGCAATGAGAACAGACTTCCTTACCCTGTCCCATCTGGAGGGACAGCATGTTTGGCATTTCACCTCCATGTATGCTGGATCTTAGCTGTTTTGTTTGTCCATTGTCATATAAGGAAAGCTCCCGTCTATTATGATTTGCTAAGTTATTTTACTTGTTTTTGTTTTGTTGTCATTGTTGTTTCATAATACACAGGTGCAATGGGCTTTTACTTCGTGGTGATGATTGTTACTTTAAAAATATCTCCTTCAGATGGACCTCATCTGTTTTTCACAGATCTTTAAATAATTTAAGTTGCCATATCTTGTCTATTATACCATAGTCTGCACTGACCTGTGCACTTCATCACTGCATATGAAAACAAAAATATAAATGAATAAGAAGAGGTACCAAAGAGTCTACCATCTTAATGATGGGCATCTCCTCTTTGCTGCTATAGAGGTCCCAGGATTACACCTGTATCCGACCAGCATCTCGTATTACCAATTTTGCAAATAAAAGGCATGGTTTTAACAGAAGCAAAAAAACCTATCTGTTGTCATGTCACTTGAGAAGAGATTAGTTCAGACTTCCTGGTCATGAGGCCATTAAAAGAAGAACCAAGGATTTCACCAGGGTGAAAGCTGTGCCCTTGTCAAGGGTGATGACAGCTGTCTGGCCCTTATCTTTCTTTTCTTTTTTTGGTACCGGGGCTCAAACTAGGGACCTTGTGCTTTCGAGGCAGGCGCTGGAACCACTGAGCTAAATCCCCGGCCCTGGCCCTTATCTTTTGAGCTATTGCAGGCTCAAGCCTGCCTCAGGCACTGTGGGTTGATTTGTGTGCCAGGTTTTTTGGTCTCTGGAAGTTTTTGAGCCCCTTCCAGGGGTTTTGGGGTCACCAATACTCGTCTGGGGGGCTCAAGGACAGCAGTTTGCCAACAAGGTCCTTGTGTTCCAGGGGGTGCTCCATCTCCGAGGGATCTTGTGTCTTGGCCACTTTACTCATCACTGGGACACAATACCTGACACCCACAGCTTAAAGGACAAGAAGTTTGTTGTGGCTCATGGTTTGTAGAGGTTTCAGTCCACAGTTGGCTGGCTCCAAGGCAGGACAGCATGGTAAAGGAGCATTGCAGAAGAGAAACAGTTCATGGTGTGGCAGGCAGAAAGCAGCAGCAGCAGCCAGCCTGCCTCTTCTTTTTATCCCATTCAGGCTACCAGCCTTTT